TCCTTTATGGATCAGCTCCAAAGTCACCCATTACTCTTTTACAAAGTCCATTCACTGTTAAGTGCATTAAGACAGTCAAGTGGCCAAAACATTCAACACTCACTGCTTTTCCTTTTCCTCGTTTTTTTGGGACCAAGTCTTTGCATCTCAGAAGAAGACTAAGGAAGAGATTTGTTGGGTGGCAGTGAGTCTGACTCCTTAGTGCATCAGCTCTTAATCCCCCATCTCTTATACAAAGTCCACTCTCTGTTCAGCACATAAAGACAGTCCAGTGGCCGAAACATTCAACACACTCACAGCTTTTTCTTTTCCTCTTTTTTGTGGGACCAAGTCTTTGCATAACAGATTAAGACTAAGGAAGAGATTTGTTGGGTGGCAGTGAGTCTGACTCCTTAGTGCATCAGCTCTTAATCCCCCATCTCTCATACAAAGTCCACTCTCTGTTCAGCGCATAAAGACAGTCCAGTGGCCAAAAAATTTAACACACTCATTGCACTTCCTTTTCTTCTTTTTTGTGGGACCAAGTCTTTGCATCACAGATTAAGACTAAGAAAGAAATTTGTTGAGTGAAACTGACTCCTTGTGGATAATCAGCTCTTAGTCACCCATCTCTTGTACAAAGTCCACCCTCTGTTTACCATATAAAGACAGTCCAGTGGCCAAAACATTCAACACACTCACAGCTTTTCCTTTTCCTCTTTTTTGTGGGACCAAGCCTTTGCATCACAGATTGAGACTAAGGAAGAGATTTGTTGAGTAAAACTGACTCCTTTGTGGATGATCAGCTCTAATCCTTCCCTTCCCCTCCCCCTTTCTCTCTCTCCTGAAAAGTCCACTGACTACACAGGTTTCAAATGAACTGCTTAAAAACATACCAGCTGAGTTTTCAAAGAGACAAAAAGAGATTTGGAATTTTCAATTCTATGTAAAGAACACTTAATCCAGTAAAAACTGAGGTAAAAATACCTAAGGCGAACCAAAAATTTAAGTTTACTTTGAGTTGTCTAGCACAGAGTTTAAATGATACAATATACTGAATTTTTTAAGAGTTGATTTGCATTCTAACTATTATTTTTTTTAGAGAAGATTGAGGGAGACTCAAATAGTTTAGAGGTACAGGTGCACTAAATTGGTTAAATGAATAAGTCATCTTACAGTGTTCAGGTGTATATAGCTACTGAAAGATCAACTCTACTGACATGAACACTTGCAGCTTACAAACATATGTTCATACAAAATTGTAGGCTCCTTACTGTACTACAAATACATGTGTCATTCACCCGAGAAAGGTTTTTTTTCCTGAATGATGTTTATTCAATTTGTCCCTCTTTTGGTTCACAGTTTTCACAGAGTGTACACGTCTTCTGAAATTTGTTCATCAATAAGAGGTGTCCTGTTTTGGGTCTACATATATGCTTAGATAAGCAAATTGTTTCATTGCTTTGCAATTGAGTTCCAAGGTGACATTATTTGTTGTGAGACACTTCACAGAAGAGTTGTGCTCAAGCCATAACATGAACTTGCAGCACAAACAAATTGCTTTGACAAATGATTGTGCTTATCTTTCTGTTTTATTCCCTGCCCCCCCCCCTCAAAAAATTACCTATAAATTCTGATTGACCAGTCCCACTCTGTAATAAACCCAGCTTTATCAAATACATAAAAAGATGCATCTATGTTGTTTGCTTCTACTTAAATAGGATGCATAAAGCAATTTGACACTAACAAAATACTTAACATTGGCACCATATAAATTAGATCAGGGTCCACAGATCCACTGAGAGCCAAGATGTTTGAATAGAAACAATCTTCACATTCTTGCTTACAGGCACAGTGCTGTTCCAGTAAAGATGAAAACAAACAAACATTAAGAAAGAGTATCTTTTTTCCACAAAAGTTCTAAATGAGTCGGTTAGTATTGATGTACAGTGCAAGAAGCAATACATGTATATCTTTAAAATGAGTTTTCCTTGAATATTTTTTGAATGTGATTTTTCTGGGTGGAATTAACTCCCTTGTGGATCAAGCTTTAGTCACCCTTTACAGGTCAGCTCTTCCATCTCCTGTACAAAGTCCACTCTCTGTTCAGCACATAAAGACAGTCCCTCTTTTGGTTCACAGTTAATAAAATGTACTTGTAAGTCTTCTGAAATTTGTTCCTCAGTAAGAGGTGTACTGTTTTGAGTCTACACGTATACTTTTTTTTTAACTCTCCCATGAGACTAATAGGCAAACTGTTTCATTCTTTTGCAATTGAGATCCAAGTTGACGTGTTTGATGTGGGAAATTTTAGAGAACAGTTGTCCTTATCAGCCATAATTATATACAATATATACAAATCGCTTCAAATGATTGTGCTTATCTTTCTGCAGAAGACAGTCCAGTGGCTGAGAATTCAACACATTCACTGCTTATCCCTATCCTTTTTTTTGTGGGACCAGGTCTTTGCATCACAGATTAAGGTTAAGGAAGAGATTTATTGAATGAAACTGATTCCTTTGTGGGTCAGCTCTTGTTAATCACCCATCTCCTGTACAAAGTCCATTCTCTATTCAGCGCTTTAAGACAGTCCAGTTTCTGAAACAGCTTTTAATGAATATGTTTGATGCTTTAGTTGCACATGCTTCATAAAGTTGCATAACTTACTATCAAATTCACAGAGGCTCTGATCGAAAAATAACAAACAAAGTTCACAGGAAAACCTTTCATGTTTGCCACATAACTACCAGTTAAAAAGACCACAAAGAGAATTCTCTTGTCTTTCCCATGGCACCCTTCATGGAAATGACTGCAAACTTTAGTTTTGTAGCAAATTACACAGAAATACCTGTAATGCTCTCTGTATTAGGGAAATATCATCAAAGAACTTGAATCTATGCCCAGACTTACACTTGAATTGTTGAGGAAATTTCATTTGTTCATATTGTTCGCATTACTTTTGGACAATAGTTCTAACCAAAGAAAAGCCAAGTTGAAATTTAGATTAGGCATCAACTCATTTGTCTAGAGATTTATTACCCGCAATATCTGAATCAAGAAAAAAAGTCAATTTTCAGAAGCCAATACTAAATTGGGTAAAACAGTTTTCCCATTTTGGGATTTACTGCCTCACACCATGTAACTCTGTAAAATATTTAGAGCTATTATTCTGTTGTGTCAAAGGCAAAGTGAATATTGTTGAATAATCCCTCAAGTGGAAGTTGAGAGGAATATTCAGCAATGGTCAACAAGGCTGAGGCAAATAATTGTTTTAGTATGCACTGTAATTGCTAACCCTAAGCTTTCAAATTATGTTGTAAATTCTGTTAATAAAGAAAACATTGTGCATATTTTTATTTACAATTGTGGTGATTACTCATATCAAGATAGGTGAAGAGTTTATTCAATTAAATCAGTAACAAACTTAATATCTTTCTTTAGAAAAGTGTTTCACCAAACTCAGTCGCAAATTCTTTTGTGCTCTTCAAAATTGACTTTTCTGCAATTGCACTTATCACTTCCATGTAAACATTTAAAAAAGGTGAGACAGCCACTTTGAAATTTAGTGCCCCTGCTATAATCACCTTGTACAAGGTGATTATAGCAAGATACATGTATGATGCAATCCTCAACCAATCAAGGCACTGGTATGCATTTCCATAATCACCAGAGCAATTACACTATAAGAATATCATTTCTACCAACAGGCCGCTGATATAATGGGGTATCTACATCGAAACAATTTAAAAAAAGGCTCTCCTTCATAGGTACAAAAAGCACTAGGAGAAAATTATTATTATGTTCACTGACTACTGTTCTTTCATACATGTAGCTGCTCAATTTCACTTCAAAATGGTAATTTTCAACTAACTTCGGTTGCATTTTGGGAAAACTTCTAAGTGTTCATTTGAAAATTCTGATAATTTTGAGCTGGTCAAAAATTATGAAACATACACGAATTTTTGAGTAAGTAAAAGAGTATTTCAATGATAAAAAAATATATATTTCAATATTTCTTATCACTGTTCTTTTCTCCACTTGTGGAGAAGGTGGCGACAAACTAACAGCATTACATTAAATGAACTTATTTTCCATATTTCGGAAAGATTTCCGTTTAACCGCGCCCCATATCATTTTAAAACAAAGTCTTCGTCTCAAAGGTAGTCTATCGTATTCCCCATTGTTTACTTTCATCAAAGAGCTGATGCATAATGAAGTGTGGGGTTATACTGAAATCTAACCGAGTTTTAATAAGCTTAAGACTTCACCCCAAAAGCGAGTTTTCGTTTTTCGTACAAGACATCACCTTACCTCGAACAAGCAGCTTACAAGCAAACTTCCCAACAAGAGATGAGTTCACGTGCGCCTTTCGCCATTCCTTGTCTAATTGTAACATCCTGTAACCATGATTTCTTCTTCCTAGTAAATGTATCCAAAGCGAAAAAACACTTGCTCTCAAAGTCAAGAGAAGCTGAAGGCCATTTTCGTTCCCTTTTTCGCGGCCCACAGATACTAACCGATAATAAATTTTCCCCTAATTTTTTCAAAACAGGCCGCCATGTTGCATTCCTAATTTGATCCCAATCCCCCTTCGACATGTGAACCAATCAACAACCGCCGGAAAATAGACGCAAATTTCCGAACATTGAACGGAAATGTTCGAAAAAGAACGAGCTAAAGTAGATAAACGGAACTCCGCGAAAAGGGATGAAGGTTTCCAAAATCAGCCAGGACCGGGGACCATCCGAAAAGGGACGCAATATTCCGAGATCGGTGCGACAGAAATGTGGGAAATCCGACAAGTTCCGTAATCGGGGAACAATTTATTCTGATACTAAAGCGGGGAGGGCGGACGAAACCTTCATGTAGGTAGTGGATTTTGTGTTGTATTGCTTACAATTAAATCCTGCAAATGTAGCCTGCCAAAAATGGCATTTACCTTCGATCAGAGTGTTTCTTATTACACAGACCTTTCGTGTTTATGGTTTGAGGAAACTTCGTACAACGGTGTTATTCAATTTCCTGGTTACTTTATTAACAATTGTAATGTATTACAGATATTTCCAAAGTTGTGCTAAATAAATTAGATCGATACACGCTCTTCCACTCTCCAGCGTCACTGGAACCTCACCAAACCATAACATCATCGATTCTTTTACACTAAACACCATGCACATTCTTCAACGGGAGGGCTGACCTAAAATGCATTCATTAAAAAGACACTCATATCTCAAACATAACCCTTTAACCCTGACTACCATCTCAATTCTCCCTAAAGTATTACCCTTGAATCACACATTTAGGTCACGAGAATATAGGAAATGATCACCAGATAAGGGGACTCTTAATTATAAAACAAATTCTCCTTGTCACTACATAAGTAAACGTATAGGGAACTGTATGGAGAATATGCACACTGATGCTGGGGAGTAAAGGGTTAAAGGGTGTGTGTGACAACTAAGACGACAGTTAAGTAAAAATTAAAAAAAAAAACGAATTAAATCAGTCACAAAAATAAATTACCCGTTCATTTTTTGCCGGGATAAATTTTATCTCAGCATCTTCCGCAAGACTTTCGGCAAATTTTGAGGACTTCAGGAAAGCTACAAAGTCCAAGATCTATGTACCTTTCACATGAAGAACTCACGTCCAGACAAGGTGCTTAAAGAAAGAGATAAAAATGAAAACAAATTACTGTCATTGTGAACTGTGTGCGGACGCCAAAAACACCGTGCATAATAAAATTCAAGTAGAACACCTCCAATACAGTTATCCTTTTTTCCTCTAACGAGGCTAAGTACACAAACATTGGAGAACCAGTTCACTGGCTCAGAAATCAGGTTAAATTAAAGAATTAAGGGGCCAGTCGGGCCGGAGGTTTTTGATTGTACCACGAAAAAATCTACCCGATTCTCCCACAAGGCTCTGTAATATGCTTTGACCGCCCCCCTCTTGGCAATAAATTGACACTGAGTCCATTGTCTATAATCACCCTGGTGACAGCTGATTCCCCCTCTGTCCCCCTTAAAATCTTGTGATCCCCCCACTCCTCCACCCCTCAAGGTGACAAATAATTACTGTTCCCTGACTCAAAATAATGAGGTGAAATGAAATGAATCACATAGCGGGATCTTCAGTCTTACCAGGACAAGAATGAGTGTTACAACTGGTTGTTTCCTCAACGTCACCGATGCAAGGATTTCCACATTTGCTCGGCAGAGGATCTGAGCATAATCTTGTTCTTTTTTGTTCCCCTCCTCCGCAACTTTTGCTGCAGGGACCCCATGTGGACCAGGGAGTAAACTTGCCATTCACTGTAATGTACAAGTATTGAGGTATCACATGGGTCTTTCAGTACGTCAGTTTTACATTTATTGACAGCTTTTTAAGGCGTTCGAATCAATAGTGTCAACATCAACATCGAGTTTTATCATTGTAATTAGACCTTAATAGTTTCTTTTTTTGTTTGTTTTGATACTCCAATCTAACTGCGACCAAAAATTCAGTCAATTACTCTTTTCTCAGAAAACTATTCCCTCTCGATACCTTGGTCAATACATAACTGATTCACTTTTACTGATCGGTCATCACTAGCATAAACTACGATAACAAAGTTGCCATACCTGGATCAATGATTTTGTAGACATAATTCGACTGGCTAGCCCCTGTGCAAGCTTCACTTGAATCATCTTTACATGGTTGTAATTGTAACTCGTTATCAACTGCCGAAACACACCGGTCACTTTTCCCATCCCTTGCATACATTAGAGAGGCATTTTCTCCACTCCAACATTCGCCGTAAAATTGAAGACCGAATATTGTAAAGCCTCTCTGAGAAGCTGCATCGGCGCACTGTGACACTCCGCTGAAATACAATTAAAGGTGCACTAAAAATTAGGTTCCCTTACAGGTTTCACAATTTTTGATAGATCGACACGCGAATTTTCTTTTGATGTTAGAGTCGGATTTATCGGCAAACTTGTTTTAGAATAAATGACAAAATCGACTTGTTTGAGATTGACCAAAAAATGGACATCGCCCATAATGTGTGTTAAAACAGTCCTGAAGAGGTTGAACTCTTTTCAATATAAATTAACGTTGAGCAGGTATGGCTTAGGATAAAATACGCTCTATATATCGAAGAGTCTGCATTGCAAAGCATTGCTTTCAAAGACGAAAGCGAGGCCGGTGTAAGCGAATCCTGAATAGTGATGCGTAGCAAGCCCTCCCTCAACTGAGGAGTTGAGATGATAAAAACGGAAGTCAGTGTACATGTATTGTAAAAAGGGAAAAATACTGGAACGGTTCGTTTTATCGTAAATTCATTTCCTTCTGCTATATCGGTCTCATTATTTTATTGTTATTAACATCCTCTGTCATTTATGTCAATCTCATTATTTTCCTTCATCGCTGTATAACAAGATTACACGCGTCAGGTCCCTGCAAGGACTTCAAGAAATTTTCTATCTTTGGTTTTCAGTTAAACCTCGATACTATTAATGCCACTCTATTAATTACCCTGCCCTCCATTTTTATTTCTTATTTACCTGCTTATTGACTCCTTTGGAGAATACCAATTGAAGACCGAGCGATAGGTCGTAATCAATGTTGGTAATGGGCGTGGCTTCCTCAGACTGTCTCTATAGCAACCTATTTTGATATATTCATGACAGCTCTCTACGTCATCAGCAAGCCCTGAGAATGAATGCAAACCGTTTTTTTAGCGTTAAATGTTGAATATGAAGGATATAAACAAGAAGAAAAAATATTCAAACGCCTAGAAAATCCCTATTACGTTAATCAATCACAGAACAATATTCATCAGCATAAGACAAGTTATATTCGAAGCGATATTTCCTAAAACAGATTTTCCTCCAGGGATAGCAGAGTAAGTAAAATTCATAAACGAAAGACAAAGGAAATTAAGCACAGATTCAACCTTTGATTTTGTCCGACTGTTTTACTACATTATTTAATTTTTTTCAAAATTCATCGTTTACAGAGAAGGCTGAATTTTTATATATAATTATCAGTTTTTCCGTTTTTCTATAAAATTTACTCATTCATTCGTTCATCACAGTGAAAGACTGGGTGCTTGCATATGCAAGAGGTGCGATTGATGATTGCAAAACGTACCTACAATTTGTTATTTCATCGAATGGTTGTTTTATACAAGGGAAAAAGAGAAAGATGCGTCAAACATACGGCCCTGATTTTTATTATCTATCGTTTCAGAGGCGTGTAAAATGTTATTAACATCCCCTGTCATTTATGTCAAGCGGCAAAGAAAATAATGAACTACATGGGAAAGAGGACAAAATTATTGTTTCAAGGTTAAGCAAACATTGACGTTACTTCTACAATCAATAATGTTGCAGTTAGACTACAATTATGGCTACTGGATGAAAAATTTGCCTTGAAATTAATTTCATTTCTTTTGTGAAAATAACGTTGATGAAGCCTGGTTAAAATTGAGGCCTCATAATCACAAATTACACATCACAGATCAAAGGCAAAGTGGAGGTTTAACGCATATTCTATTGTTTCTGGCTTACCTTCAATAATTCCCCAACGAAGAAAAAAGAAAAAAGATGCGAAAATGAAAACTGCGAAAGCCGTATTTTTCATGCCTGTTAACGATCTCGTAAAGAAAACCAAGCTTGTTACAAAATTCTAACCGCACGGCAGAAACTTTCGGTGTCTTCACCCGCGGCTTTGTATCTGTGTTGCGGTTCCACCGTCGCTGGATCTCTTTCATACTCCGTCTGTTTTATTAATGTTTCTCTCTTTCCGGAGTAAACAAATATGACACTTTTAAAGACTACTTTCATCCTGATTCCTAGATGTTTTATCCGCCCTGCTGAACATATTTCTGATAGTTCTTTGATAAAAGAATATTAATATGAACTACGTAATCAAACTTTGTAACAGTCTCTGTATCCTGATTGGTTTCCGGATTAAATAAAACGCACTTTTCTGTCAAAGAAAACAATACATGAGCAGTTCATATGAACTACGCTTTTATTAGTCTTGATTGGAGGATGTAAACGTAAACCTGAACTGAAATATAATTAATACAGCTCACCGTATTATATATCAGAGGATGTGTTATCAATAATCCCTTATTGATGTTATATGTCATTCACGTAGGTTTCTTCGCCTGCCGTGGCGCGTAGGAAAGTTTGAGTCTTCTTGATTGTTCTATTCAAAGAAATAATGTATCCTGTTTACTTTTCTGTTGTGTCAGATGTAGCAAGATTCTATTAAGTCAATATGAGGTACAACCGCGTGGTTTAATAGCAAAGCAAAAAAGTCTCACCTGCTTAAACAAGACCATGAGGAAAGCTTGAAAGTAAAACAAGTCGTGAAAGATTCTTTGTGCTTCAACTCCAAAGAGAATTTATAAAACATTTTTAAAAAAACCAGCTTGTTTGGATAACTGTAATGCCTCGAGGTCGTTTCAAATCGAAATTTAAGTCTAGGAGTCGTTATCCCTTCCCCACAATACGTTTTTGAAAATATAGTCAGATAATCTGACCTACAAACACACTCTAGTTCGTTGGTTGTATTCGTGTAGAAGCCTTTCACTAAAACAGTTTTCATTGTCGTCCTCTTTGTTCTTTTGAAACAGTTTTTAGGTTAAAACAAAAACCGAATACGAAGGTTACCTAAAGAGTTATTTCTCAATTGAAGTGATTTTATCATCAGTTCTTTTTATTGTATGCCAAACATTTCGCGTAATTTCAGCTCGTTGAAAGTTGGTGTTAGACCAAGTAAATATGTCCTAAGCTGACGTATGACTTTCTTGTCATCAACTTCCTGCTTGACAATATATAAATACTTCAAAAAGAGATTACAAATCATTTACTCTTATGAGTGACATGATTCTGATATAAATTCTAACAATTACCTTTCAAATTGACTTTGGACTAAAGGTGTCTGTAGTCTGAGACTTCAAATTCGTTCCGAGCCTGAACACTGGTCTCTAATCTAGTTACATCCTCTGTTACGTGTGCGGCGTCTCTTGCTGTTCTTTAAAATCAGTCTTCGCCGCATGGGATATCTGCGATTTTTACCCGATCTTGTTGAAAACTGGAAATTATCTGCAAACCCTTTGTAACCTAGAAAGCATATCCTTAACAGTTTTTCTCTTTCTGACTTCTAGGATAAATTAAGTTCCTTGGTTTAGTCGAATGGTGAAATAGCGATACACTTCTGCAGCGCGCGACGCAAGTCAAAAGCCAAGTTGCAGCCAGAGTGCAGCGGAAATCGGCGGAAAATTCAGCTCAGCTAAACGAGTTACGAACAAAAAAAACTTGTCTTCAAAGGGGACCCGAAATCCGTAGACAAATTCGTGGTTATTTTTTAGCAAACGGTTGAATTGGTGAAAGATGATAGTTCAGGGCGGTACATTTTACGGATCTGTTCTCGAAATATGTCAGTTGGAAAGAAGGTTTTGATAAAGCTGAAAAGTAAGCTCACGTTTCACACTTTTTATTAGAAATCACTAAGACGGTATCACACATTGAGTGCACTCTAGTGCTTGTGTATTCTTATGTGGTGATTTAAACCTCAGAGAGCTGCTCATACGTGACTTTTTCTCCCTCCGATTGTCGAAGGGGAATTAATGCTCTCACGAAACAGTGCGTGCATCGAAATGATCTTCCCTTAAGAGAATCACCATGCTGGTATTAGTTCACGTGGTCGGCGAATGGTAGATCTCAGATGGTCGATAGAGTTGATCTACATATAACGAACGAAAAGAAAATTAGATTTCGAAATATCAAAAAAATTCTAGTCCCCCTGGGTTCAGTAGGTAATATAAACGTTACCCTCGCGCATTTTACAAGTTTCTCATATAGCTAGTTCCCATTTTTACTCCCGTATTCCGGGGAGGACTTTAAGAACACAACACAATGACTGCACCAGGGTCGAACCCGGTCTTTTCTCGAAAAAGCTCAACACGCTAACGACTTTGCCACCGCGCCTTCAATAGAATGACATCATGGGGGAGTCCAAGTCCAAAACCTAATTCAACAGCTTCTATCTGTCAAAATATTTTTTTGTCAGCAATAAATCCTCACCAAGTCCATTCAGATTTAGGTTAAAATATTTCTGTGCCAGTCCCTCCTCAGTTTAAAAAGCCTCCGATTCACTTGCGGCTGACCTGTTAAAAAAGACATTACAATTTCAAAACTTAAGTTCAAGTGAAGAACGAAGAGGTTCATAACAACATTTTATTCACCAATACTGCTCCGACTTCGTTACAAGCTTCGTCATTGACCATATATCTCTCGTTGGTTAGCTGTTATTAGCAGTTGGCACCGGTATACATCAAATATCAGGGGGCTTGAGCCAAAAATTTTTAAAACACAAGGGGGGGTGGGGGCAGGTAGGCAACTAGAAATTGAGTCATTTTGTCCGTGGTGTCTACCACAGATGTTTTCTCGTTACGTTTAGTTTAAAATTCTAAAATACAAGCTTGCCAATTGGCTGGCTTCTGTCATAGTGCGACAATGACAAAATCCCACATTGTTCTTTGTAATCCAAACATGCTTTCGCTATCGACTAACCAGCATCGAGATTCCAAGTTTTGCTTTAGATTACTGTTCAAGTCGGGTAAGCAAAAAAACATCTCATGGTCTTTGAGGAAGTTATTTCGGCCGATAATTGTTTTGAAAGACTCTGAAAACGTTTTATTGTACACTTTCCTCTAATGCATTCTTTCAGGAATTTACATATAACTGCCACACAACTTACTGCATGTTGCTTCCAAAATCCCAGCAAACAAATCAGACAGTTGTTTAAAGCTGTTTACGGTGTAAACTTCTTCTCCTGCAATTTCTTCCAGTTGTCCTTCGAATTCCTCATAATTTCCAACACCAATTGCAATAATTTTAACTCCCTTTTTCTGAAATGTAAATTGTGAACAGAACAACTTAGTAATGTAGCGCTGATGACAAAGGAGACATTGTGAAATGAAAAGAAAATGAAAATTATTGGCGATATAAGAGGGTGAAATCACCGAAATGGAAATCTGAGTTGCCACAAAGGTATTTCCTGCGTTTCGTTTTCGGTTCACCCCTTCTTTTATCTCCTTCTTCATCCAGATTTACCGTGCAATCATTAAAGAGGATCCTTTAAAACCACTCAAAACTAATATGAACTGCTTTTTCATGAATCTAAAGTTAGCTTAGTTTTATTTTCATCTAAATCTATTTTGTGAAATAAAGGCATGAAAACTTAAAAGAGGAAGTGATTGATACACATTTTAAAGGGTTTTCAATTGAGCCAATTAGGAGAAAGGAAAATAACTTGAAGAGCCAATGAGAGTTTAAAGTAAAAATAAGTAAAACGCCTAACGTACTAGAAACGCGGGCAACTAATTCGTTATTACAATTGGTTACGGTCTCGCATTTTATTGGTTAAGGGAATGGAAATTTCAACTTTGCGACTTTTTTGGAACAATCGCAGACACTCAACACTCAACTGGAAATTGATCCATTATTATCGCCCACGTGAAAAGGGTTTGTCGCAAAACAATGAATGAAACAGTGTAATAAATGAAATAAATCATTCGTATGGAAGTAAAAGAGACAGAGAAAATCTGAAAGATAAGTCAGGGGAAAGCAAATTTTAGTCATTCCTACCTGAAGCAAAGGAATTGTAGCCGAGAAAGACTTCGATTCAGGATTTGTCTTTCCAGCCGACAAAAGAATCAAAACATTTGGAAATTCCGGCCTGTCACCTCCCCTATCAGTAAACAATTCTTCATTGGCTTTTTTCAGCGCCCTGTCAATGAACAATCGGAGCCCAAATGAGCCTTTTTCTCCCGATAGGTTATATATAAGGTGGTACAGATTTTCTTTATCGTAGAAACCACTATCTGCAAAGGTACTTATTACGTGCGCTTGTTTAGCAAACACGATAAGTCCAGTGTGTGTCTCTTCTGGTCCAATGGTCAGCGCGTCAGTCAGTTGCAGGAGGAAGCCTTTGACTAGCTTATAATCATCTATGCCAACACTTCTTGTTCGGTCGATCGCGAAAGCCAAGTCCATTCCTTGAGCCTCGCAAGGGTTTGGTGCTGGAGAATAGAATTTGATAAATACAGTTAACTCAATCATTCGCTCTGACGAAGAGCTAACGCTCGAAACTTTAGCTTTAGAAACTCTTTGCGATGGCCAATTTACAATCTTAACGCAGATGATAAAACCGAATTATCTAGTTATATCCCCCATCGATGTAGATTCATACTTTCTTTAGAAATTTATCCCCTCAACTCAATGACAGCCTGTTCCAGGCTTTAATTAAGATAATAAAACCAAGCCTGAAAGAAGACGACGCCGCGGAGCGTGAAAAGGGGAGAGGTTTGGGGCCGTTCGCATGACAAACAGCATGCATTTCGCGACTCGACTCTACTTTCGGAATGCCAGGAACAGTCAAACCCCATGAACACCAGAAATCTCAAGCTTAAGAAGACAAGTAACTCTTTGAAATAGATAATCAGAATCAGAGTTTCTCTTTACCATCCAACTTCCACAGCCATTTTTAACTTCACTAATCTGATAATTGACACCTTTCTTGAGGTGTCACTATGATGTACGCAGAGATAAGTCGACCATTAAAAGTCCGTGTGCAAGGCCTTACAAACCAAATACGTGTACTTTCTGTGGTTTAAAAGACAATTCGAACAGTCTACTGTATTCTCTTTTCATGTGACCTTTCCCCAGTCCCCACGGTCCGTTTAAGGTAAGAAAGTGGGTTGGTAGGCAGTGAACAATTAGGTGACAAATTATTGGTTATTGACAATCGTTACAACACCCATTCCTCTTATCGCCATCAATGTTATGTTTTTAAGGTTCTTTTAGGTTCGTTTGTTTTTAACCTGTGATATGGAGCCAACTGGAAGTACACATGCGATTGCAGGCCAGAAAAGGTGAATCTTGGGCGAAAATGTTTTTAGAGGGGTGAAAGCCGTTTTGCCTAACTGTCCATCTCAGTTACATTAATTGAATTTTTTTACGCACCTTTTTACGCAAATGGTTACATTGAAAATTTCGCGCTACTGCTTGAAATCTCAATGAACATCTGATATTAATAGAGGTGATAAATACGAAATTAAGTGCTAAGGTCTTCAAATAATTTCAGCAGAACTAGAGAACGAAAAGGGAAATTAATCAAATTATAATGATTGTAACAGCTAAACAAGCAAACTAGGACAACTGAACAGAGGGATGTGAGATATCTGATGTTAAAGAAAACAATCTTGGTAGTATTTCTACCCTCTGTCTACATGGAAATAACAAAAACCAACAGGAACCTTCATTTTTTCATTCTTAAAATAAAAGTTGGCTCAGAGATAGCAAATGTTCATCATGGCGGGCCGGTCTTTAAAATCTAAAAAGGGTCGATAAGGTGTACTGATAGAATCCTGAAATACAATACACAAATAATTACATAAATACATAGAAAAATTGTTATTACAAATCATGAAATAAGACAAAGGAAGAACACTGGCTACCTCAGAGGACTTTCAGAGGCATTATTAATTACTTATGAGATTTTACCTTTGGAATGACCTCATGTATGTATAGAAAGGAATTTTCCCTCTTGAAAATATTTAGCAGTAAATGCTTTATTTTAAAAATGAGTGAATGTTCGGATAGCTCCTATTGAAAGAATGGTCTCTCATTTCATATTGTAACAACTTCTCTTGAGAAGGAATTTCATATACCACAAGAGTTGACGATTTCATGTAGAAAGTATCCAAAGTAAAATAGTTACCTCTTTATCGTGAATATTTGTAACTGCAAATTATGTTCTCCAACCCCGAAATTCCTCTCAGCTAAAATTCTGAACGACTTTTTCAATATTTAGAGTAGTCTTCAATAGTCTGCAATATTATTTCAGCAGATTTGCTGAAATAATATTGCAGTCTTCTTTACTCAGGGATTTTCTTTATTCAAAAGGGATTTCTCAACTTCTTTACACTTTTTTAGTCAACAACCGCGAAGTAACTTCAATGTGATCATAATTTTGACACCAGCAAACACAAATAACCGCACTTTTATTCTAAAAGTTTTTCTTTTAATTGCCTAAATGCTGTCACACCTCAGAACAATGCAAAACATCGTCGTCAATACAGCTGATGTACATCCATTCACAGTGACGAACATAAAAGAAATCGAAATGAGTCGATTGTCCTCTTTCTCCGAAACTCAGAGGTTGTTTAGTGATAATAGTTCGCTTAAAGCAATATCTGTTGTACAGAGATCTTATGATGTTGTCCTCCGTTACTTTTGGTTTGTTATCTCTTTTCTCCATGAGCCTAGGTGAGTGTATGGCAATTCTGCTTTTCTAATGTACCTCTGGGAAACATACATTTTGTTTCTGGAAATGTGTGTTCAAAATCGTGGTCCGTTTCGTTCTGTTGTCAACACTCGTCATTTGATCATTAACTATCATCAAGATTCTCAATTCGACATCTGAGTGGAAGATTTCCCATTCATTTTTGTTCTATACCTACTTAGGGTGCTTTCCACATTGCTGATCGTAGAAATATACAGTAGCTGTAGCTCAGACTGTTGAGCATCTGACTTCGAAGTCGAAATTGGCCGGAGCTCAATTCCTCACTTCCCATTGAAAGGGACCTTTTTTTTCTCTTTTTCCCACTTTCGTGACAAATGTTTCACATCTCTCCCCGTAAGGAGAAAGATCAGTTCTCTGTAGGCTTAGTGACAGAGCGGAATCAAAAGGTCTGAGGTTCCAATGCTCATGTCCTGAGTTTTTGCCAAAGCATTTTTTCTACGTTGTTTTCTTTTTTTAGTTTTGTTTTGTTTTATTTTTGGTTTTGTTTTTCCTTATTTCAGGTTGCAGTGACTATCTAGATAACTGCCAAGTGTACGATCAAATGGGTCTATGTAACATTCCAAAATATTTCGAACTTATGAAAAAGTACTGTGAAAAGAGTTGTCATCTCTGCAGTAAGTAAAAAGCAGATGATATAATAAAGGTCATGCTAAAACTATACTTTATTCAAACGTAGGTAATGCCAGCCGTTGTTCCATCTTAAAAAATTGTATACTATGTGTATTGTATGTGCACTGAGTTGTTATGGGGCTTTACAGCAAAAAAAAACTCGCTTAGTATTTCCCTTGCGATCCACTCCACTACTAATCAAACCAAATGAAGTATTATTTTTTTTTTAATTGCAGACTGAACTTGACGAAATTCAACTAAAAGATTAATTTCCTTTTCAGATATAACTTCTCATGCGACTCCACAACCGGTGCAGCCTGGACAGCCCCTGGGTAAGTTTGAGTGTATCAGAGGAATTTTTCCATGCGTTGTCGAAGATTGTCCAATTTTAATCAGATTTTACACCACTACACACTGTGATTAGCTTAAAGAAATCACCGGCATCATTACTTCAACTAATCAAATGCAAAAATAAACCAATTGCGATCTTATATATTTGAAACTGTGTTTTAGTATGCGGAGGTAATACATAACAGAGTATATCAATCTCTCATACAAGCCGTATAACATTTAATAACCTGCGCTGTTAAGTCTGCTTGGATTCGGATTGAAAAGGTTTAAAATGAGAGGACACTAAAGACCCATAAAACGTTCCAGGTGAATGTGGCAGGTCTGTGGTTCCTCAGGGCCGTGTTATCGGTGGAACAGATGCGATACACGGATCGTGGCCCTGGCAAGTAGGTCTGTACGCTGGAGACGATGACTCTAAGTTCTTCTGCGGAGGGTCCCTCATCAAACTAAACTGGGTCGTCACAGCTGCCCACTGCATTAACGACAATCTGCCCGTTGCTTCATACCGCATTCGCTTGGGAGACTGGCACCGCTTCTTCCCCGACGGCACAGAACAGGTCCGCAACGCGTCCAAAGTGATTAAACACCCTAAGTACAACTACCCATCGCTCATCAATAACGACATTGCCTTAATCAAGCTCGACCACCCGGTGCTGTTGAATAGTCACGTGAACACCATCTGTCTTCCTAAGAGAGACGTAGCTGTCTCTCTAAATAGCACGTGCTATATCACAGGTAATTACTTGTCACGTTTTGCTAGCTACAGTAACGCCTATAAATGAAGAAAAATTTTAAAGGAACTCCTTTTGAAATTTTCAAGTCAAACCTGAAACGCACAGAACTGCCTTAAAAGTAAAAAAAAAACAAGTAAAATAAAATGAAGCTTATCTAATTCAATATTGCGAAAAGTTTTGAAACATTGGTTTGGTGAGACAGGAACGATCGAGGAACAAGGGTGAAAAAAAATGGGAAAGAATTGAATTCCGAACACCACACTATCCCCGCATTAATTTGGAATCGTGTTTTTACCATTCTTGCATAATCAGAAGTCGTTTTCGTACATTTGGTGTGTTTCATAAGAGCTTTGGATAAGAACGTTTTGTTTGGGAAATTTAGCAAAATATAAATGTGGTCATAAAAATCATAAATGTGATCGTGTAGTCTGATAAATGTGATCGTGTAGTCTGATAAATGTGATCGTGTGATCTGACAAATGTGATCGTGTAGTCCCGGCCTGAGGAGGAACATTGTCGGTAGCTGTGACTGACGTTTCGACAGCCTTAGCAAAAGCCATTATCAGACTTAAATGATGTGTTATCATAAATGTTATCACGCTCGTTTCAATTAAATAAAGGATTGAATCAGCCAGTCGGCTATGTCCTTACAATTAAATGTTAAATGACTGGTGCATATCGCAGGTCAGGCTATAGCCCGAGAAGGAAGCATGACAACTTTAATGCACCATCTCAATTCAGAATATCTTTATCCTGTAGGGTGGGGCAAGGTGAAACATCCGGGTGCTTCCTACCACAAACTTCAACAGGCCCAGCTCCCACTTGTCTCCAACGCCGAATGTTCCCAGAAACTTTCCGCTTCACCCTCAGGGGGAATACTCAACGTTACCAAACAAATGGTTTGCGCCGGAAACCTGAACCCCAATGAATCGCAGGGAGGTTGCCATGGCGACAGTGGAGGACCATTCGTCTGCAAGGACTCCGCATCCGGGAAGTTCGTCCTACAGGGAGCGGTTAGCTGGGGTTCGCCGAATTGTAACTTTGCGCAAGTCAACAAACAGTACACGGTGTTTGCCCGAATCAGCAAATTTCGCCGTTGGATAAATCTTAAAATTTCTCAAAACTGAACACTAAAGAGCCACATCTGAATGGAAGTGACATTATGATAACAATAGTCCGGAGTGACGTTTATTGGGTAAAGCCTTGCAAGAAATATGTAGGGGCTAATAAATTCGAAAATAAATGATGAAGAAATATGTGCGTTTTTTCCTTGTACCAAAAAAACCACCGTCTCAATACTACCTGCGATCATAAGCAAGTGAGAAATCTCTCTTTCAGCTCATTTCCACCGCAAATAACTCCTACGCCAACAGGTTTATAATAATTTCGAACGGAGAGTGACAAAAAGAAAGAATTCATATTGGACATTTGAAATTTTATCACTAACTACCATAATTTGAAAATTAGATTATTTCTCGTGAAAAATTAAGCCAATTTTCTTTTTTTTTCTCATTTGATTGGCGTTGGACAGAAACATTGTACAGTAAAACAAAATTGTTCTCAGTGTAAAGGGAATAAAATTAAAAAGGAGAGCAGAGAAGGAAAATTCATAAATTTTCCCCTGGGGAGGGGGGTGGGTTAATTTTAAGGGGGTCACCTGGTTTTCAGAGGGAACGGAGGGGTAGTCAGTCGTCGCCAAAAAGCATTAGGGGAAGGCTATAGAAAATAGACTGCCCCCCCCCCCACCATAACTTCGCTAACAATAAGTAGTAATAACAGCTACAACTCACGACAGATAATATTGACGACATCGCTGAGTGCTCCGACAAGTGACCCATAGTCATGTGCTGAAAGCACGTTTTCTCCCCCGAGCTCTTTCAGCACCTTTTGATAACTTGGCTTTTGTGCGTCTGGACCGATTGCTAAAACAACCACACGGACACCTTTACTCTGAAAAAATTCATACCAACAAACAATCAAACGGAGGAATGGGAGAAACACAGAACTTTTTTTACCTTTTTTAGTGATAAAAGATGCGTGTATTCTGAAAAAGCATGCAGCTCTTAAAGTAAACATCACATTACACCACAATACAAACACCACAACTATGTTTGAATGAAAAAAGGGCCGTGAATAAAAAAAGGGCCGAGAGAAAATATTGAAAACAAATGGGTTCCTCACCTTAATACTTCTCAAATGTTCCTTGTACTTTTTTTTCTCCGTCTCCTTTGGGTGAGACCTTCCGTCTGTGAACAAAACCATAACACTTCGCACGCCATGTCTGTCTCCATTTTCCCTGGTGAATAGTTCTAAGTCGGCCTTCTCCAATGCCAAATCGAGACGCGTAGGTTTTGTCAGTTTGTCGATTTTTTCGTCTATCAGATTTGTAAGAGAGTTTTTTTCAAAAAATTTTGGTTCGTCAAAAAGATTGTGGATTACGCTTTTGTCACCGAATGTCTCTAGGGCTATGTGGGCTCCATCGTTTGATATATCGAATTGTTGCACGAGGTTTTTCAAAACTGTCTTCAATTCGTTGATGTTCTTTTGTTTGATACTTTGAGTTGTATCCACCACCAAACCGAGGTCAAGTTTACAACTGGAGACTGAAAAAACAAAAAGAAAAAATGGCTAATAAAATCTGTGACGTAAGAATGTGTTTTGGAACTTTTTTCTAAACAAGATCACTTTATCATATTAGGAAGACTGTCATCGTCACTTTCTGGGAACTGTCTTTGTTAGAGCAGTTTTCGATTGAGTGTCGAAAAACCAAAACCAAAGTAATCCAGGCGACTAATCAGAACAAAGGTTTGCATTATCGACCAAGAGGAACAAAGGTTTACATTATCGACCAATAGGAACAAAGGTTTACACTATCATTAGTTAATGAGAACTCAAAGTGAAAACAAGCAAACTGCTTGAAGCGCGCGAAAACGCTAATGACCAAGTCGCGATTGTTTTTAGTTTTGCATCTAATTTGTTGAGAGGATGGCGCCAGTTTTATGGACCAATCACAGTGCAAAGCTCGATAAAACTAGAGAAATGACTTTCGACACTTTATTAAAAATTGGTTCCTCACGCAACCTACGATAATTTCAGAGTGGCGGTTTCTCTTGATTCTCTACTGGTTTAGCACGCGTCGCTCCTCAACAAGTACTCGAGTAACGCTTGGTGTCTAGAATATTTTAAATGCGTTTAGGGTGAGAAGTCAGAGTTGTGATTCTAGTTTTGTACAATGTGTATGTCGGAGTCAATCTACAATAAAAGTGTTTGCTATTCACAAGTGTACGTGTCTTTGAAACGACTTAGATTGAGAGAACATTACGTAGAATAATAAGTAACAAAAAGAAATCGCAGCTGCTTGGGAAACAAAAGATATCAGACTAAGTTTAAATTTGTTGAAATTTTAAACTGTAAAGACGAGATAAAACTAGGAGAAAAGAAAATTTAAATAGCTTCACGCGTGTCTATTTATACTTACGTCTTGTGGTAGATGTCTTGGATTCTGAAAATAAAAAAAATGCGACGCAAGTGAAAACTCGTATAAGGGTGCAGTTGAAAGAATGAGATAGTTTTTTTTTTTTTTTTTTAATCAGAGCAAGAGATGGAGACATCATAATAACACATCAAAAAAAAATACCAAATATTATAATTCAAAAGATTGTTCCTTTGGAATCTATATGGCCTCTCGCATTGCGAGGAATTTGAAGAGTCTAAAGACACTGTGGTGCTTCGTCAATGGAGGAATATCACAAGAGAAAATTGGATTTGATCAAATAAGTTGATAACGTGAATTGGCCACTGAAAGGAGTTTATTAGGCTGACGTTTTGAGGGTTAGCCCTTCGTCCGACCGATTAACAATAGTACATCGCCATGGATTCGCGATTGAAATTTAATGTTGAGCAGTAGAACGGAGGGCTAATCTTTACCTTTGCAACTCTCACGCATTATGGTTGGTAAGAGACTGGGCAGCTCTTTTAAATCATTGACTTCGAAAAGCCTCTTCTCGTTGTTTGACAAAATTGGAAGGAAATTCTCTTTCTGTATTGGCTTGTTCGGCAATCCGATTCCAACAGCAAGTATCTTCACACGTTTTTTCTTTAAGACCAAAAAAAAGTTAAAAAGTATAAGAAGGGTCCTACTCCTGTATTCTCTGTCTACCTCACCTATCTCGTTTTTACACTATGTTCAGCTATTGGAGGATGACATATTGAGTGTGGGAAGCTGAGAACGAGAAAAGCAGTTTCTGCGGGAAAGGATCATGTCACCACATCAAGACGAATAACTCAGATTCTCATGTCTCGTTTCACGGTTCTTGATTAACACGCTCAATCACGAGGCGCCGAAAGGTTTATAAGGGTCCTAAAGTAAAGCTGATAAAGCTTCCCTGATTAATGAAATCGTTCAAACCTCTAATGCTTTCACGTAAGACTTGTATTCGTAGACCTTCGACTTATATCCTCCATCACTCAAAATAATCAACACTTTGTCTCTACCATCCTTGGTCACTTTCCAGGTGAATAAATCGCTGTCAGCTTTCCTGAGAACCCTGTATAAACTGAATTTTGATGTTTGTTTCACACCGTCGAGCTTCTGACCAAGATAAGAAAGTTCTTGCTTTCCTCCACGACTCAAATCAAAGGCCAATTCTAACTTTGCATATTCGTTGTCATTGGTAATAAGACCAAACCGTGAAGCGCCTGACTCCAAATCAATGCTCCTGGCCAGATCCATGATAAACTCCTTCGTCTTTTTAAATTGTTCCTCAGTGAAACTGGGGGACGCATCCAAAATAACTCCCATATTGGCTGTGCAATTCCATGATGGAGGCACTGCAAATGGAATGTGTGAAATAAGTATTTAAAATAATACTTAATAACACCCAAATACTTCTTACATAAAATTAATTGACGAATTGGGAACTAGAAAAAGTAAGCATAAAATCAGATAACTGGGGAAAATATCTTCCTCATGTTCAGTCGAGACTTCATTAGATTTTAAAAATAACCATGAAACATTTAAAAGAAAACACTGACGGGAAATAAACTTGTACAATATTTATTTGACGCTCACTACTTGAAGTGGATTTGTCAGTTAATAACATTCAAAAGATTTTCAATGAGATAAACCAGAAAACCAAATAAAACTCCTATTTGTATGACAATTTTATTCAGAGTAAGAAGATTGGTACGATGAAAATGAAAGGGATCCATATCATACAAATTTCATATTCACTGCTTGGAGTGGTTTTTTTAGTGCTGAAAATAGAGAAGGAAAAAACTAACAGACTAATTAACTAAATGTGTATACCATATCGATTTTTAACTTAAAATTTATCACCGGCCTTTTGCAATAATGAAAAGACAACGCAGAGGTGAAAAAAATTGAGTGTTTGAAGAGCAGTAAAATAAAACGTGACTGATAGAGTCACAACTGCTCAGAGGATTGCATGTGATTGGTTAAAAAGCTTGAGAACAGTGCAGGATATCTTAGCCAATCACAAAGCAAATAAATGCAAAGTGAACGCAGTTCCAGATTACCTCCACCTTATATCGCATGTTTCTGTTAGCCTACCCATTCTTATTTTTTTCATTACTGTCTGACATACAATTCTTATGAAGTTTGTTCGGGGAATTTGTCATATTATCAACTAATAATCCCCTTATTGACACTTTTTTTTAATTTTTATCACTTCTCTGCCTAATATTGTGGTGATAGGTCACTGATGGGTGTTAATAGATGTGAGGGTAACTCCTCAGCTGACGTCAAGAAAGAAGGGAACTGAGGAATTAGCATCTTACCTTAGGAAAAAGCGGCAGTTGGTCAAACTTTGTTAAATGCTTCACGTTACATTAGTCTGAGGACACTTCACCACTATGCACTGACAAGCGAAACCCAAGGCCTGTTCCCCCTTATCTTTCCTAAATGTAAGACATGCTTTGGAATTGATATACGATTTTTCTTACCAGCAGCAGCAATTGGCAGGGTACCAAGGAAAGAGACCAACATGAATGACAATACACCCATCTTGCCTGACTTTAAAGACTGCAATGAAAAAAAAAAGCATTTATCAAGCATCTCTCAAATTCATGTCATACTTTTTTGAAACAAAACAGATGACAAATTAGGTTATATTAACCTGTTTTCCGACAGCAGTTCAGAGCACAAACAAAGACACACACATGCTGCGATGATTAGGAAGTAAAAGACAACTAATTTAGTGGCACCTCACTTTACAGACTTTATTCAACATTGAAAACATTCCTTGAAGTTGAAAAGAACACGTAAACCAATTGTGATAAGCGGAACAAAAGGACATTGTTCTGGATATGATAGATTTTGAAAATAAATGAGGTTATCGAGATTTTTAATTACCCCACAGCCAACAAAAGACTTTTAGATCTCATTCTTCTGACATCATATATTTACTACCGAGATCAGTGATAAGTTATTCTCCAAAGCATTTTATAATTTATGGTAGAAAGAATTTTCTGCCATGTCATCAAGATAACACCAATTTAGCATTTGCGAACTAGGTCCGGCTTTTTGCCCAATTGTATCAAAACCTCTTCGTAATCTAGGTTTGTAGTTACCTTTGCCTGTAATTCTCTTTACATATCTCATCGAAAAATCGAAGAAAAAGTAAGTGAAAATCGTTTCCCAAGTGTTCTTGGAAACACGCAAGAAGCAAAATCGATGTACGAAAAAGCGATTACTAAATCCTAAGAAAGAAATTATCACAACAAATTCAGCGCCTTTGACTCTGTTAACTTTTATTCCTAAGATCTCATTTGTAATTCTCCTCACTGTCTGTTATGTATTTCTTATGTTTTTGGTTCTGAGGATTTGGTAATGGATCAACTTGTCAACTTTTCATCGCTTGTCTGCTTGATATTGTAAAGAGAAATTTTATCTTGATCACTCATGAGAGTTTCAAAAGGGTTAACAGTCCCAAGTTAGAGGCGTGTAAGGAATTTCTCTTGGCGAGGAAATCACATTTGAACGTGTTAACCATACAATTACTTTACTGCATTAGTGACAATAGGGCTTTGTGCCGTTGGAAGTAAATTAGGCCACTCGTCAAAATAGAGACAATATGTCTTCAATTTGCAGTTCATCCTTTTGTCTGTTTAAGACTTTCCATAGATCAATAGGGTGATCCAGACAGTAAATTTGCATACATTGGCTATGCTGCTTCATCTGTTCACGCAAAAGGTTTCGCACAAATCGGAACCACTCCTTTTACATTACTAAAACGCACTTGTTCAAAGTCTAAATGACACAATCTTTTGAAAAATTCACTCTCCGGTAGAACCTTGGGAAGGATTTTCGTGTAACCCCATACATGTTTTGTACTATTCTAAAACAAAGCCGTAACCCAAAGGTCATCTACTGTTGTCGCCATTGTTTTCTTTATCCAAGAACTGTATGAATAATGAAGTATGGGGCTGTGCGGAAATCTTGCCGAAATTGGGCGTAAAAATTTCTGCACTTGAAAGAAGTAATTAAGTTGGAGAGTTACTTCATCTTTCTCAGCACATCTCTCAGTAACTACGTGCGCTATGATTGGTCGATTTAGCGGGCCGTATTTCATTGTACAACCCGCTAAATTCAAAATTTCGTTTGAGTTGAAATCTTCCCCCTCTGTTTGAATCCAGAGATATACAACTATCTTACTAACCTCGTTTTCTTGGTCTGTGCTGTAAGTCAAGAAACCTCGTTTTTTCCGCTCGGATTTATGGCCTGCGCTTTTCAGAAAAAGAAAGAGGTTGCCGTAACCTATAAAGTACAGACCTCGATACCCGGTTGGAAAGAGGTATTCCTACGGCCAGACGACTGACTTCTTTGGAAGGCAGTGAATTTTTCCGCTTTCTGACACGTTATGAACTAATCTGACCAATAAATGGAAGACCTTTCAAGCTCTGTACATTTAGTAACTTACCGAGCTCAAGAACAGAGTCCAGCACACCTAGTGTTAGCTTTGCTTTGACCTTGTTCAGTGTCTGACCACGAAATGTGCATTCCGACAATTTCAATGACATAAGTATCTTTAATCCCTTATTATCGCATCAGCCAATCATTTTCAAATTGAACAATGTTTGTTCTAGAGTAGTCTAAAGCCTTATGTAGTTTCTGGTGATCTCGTTGATATCCTCGCTGGTCTAATGCTCAATTTACTATGAGAAACGTTCGCTGATAACATTCATAGAACCTCTGAACACAACATAACGACGATAACAAATCAGTACAGGTTTTCAAGATTCAACTTTTTTCTTGTTCTGTTCTCTAAAGTACGTTCATGCCTGAAGTATCATTTCGCTTCTACTGTTAATCGTCCAATTCTTAACCCATGTTTTTAGACGCTTCACTGAACCTTCAGGGAAAACACTCCTTTTGTGTAAGTCCATTTGACAAATAAAGTATTGCCAAGTTGAGCGATGTAGACCATGACAGTATCGACCGAAAACTCACGTTCCTACCATTTCTTCTACTGCTGCGATTCGGCTAGATTACTGATTTCTTGTAAGTTGGCCTTACCGTAAAACTACCTCTACAACGCGGAATAACGATAAATTTCGTGAAGTTACGTTTCGATGCTTTCAGCCTCTTGGACTTTCCCCTTCCATTTTCATTGACAAGCAACGAGCTGGTAGCATCTTATACATCTTTAAAATACCATGTTTACTAAAAAAAAGTCTGGAATTCTATTTATCGACGAACGATAGATGTGACTAAAAAAATTCAAGGTGGCCGAATTGCCATACGAATAAAGGCGAGGATTAGGCGAAGAAAAACGATTAAGCTTTCGTTAATCTGTACGTTGCTGTTATTCACGTTCATCAGATGACCTTTTTTGCTATTTCTTCCTATGGAAGTATTTGTAGCACTGTTTCCCTTAGCAATTTATGCTTTGTCTGTTATTCAAAACGATTTCATTTTATTAATTTTTCATCGAGGTGAGGGAAGTCATTCGACCGAAATTGCTCTGAAAATAAAGAGAATTCTTTCACTTGGCCCATCGCACCATTGGCCGTCCCTTCTAAAATGAGTGAGAAGTTCTGGGATCAGAGTTCGATATAGGGTTTTCTCGGCTTTTTCGTCATTTTCTCTCACACTGTGCGTAAAAAACACGTCACAAGCCATTAGGAGGCATGTTTCAACCTAGTTCCCAAAGAGCAACGCCGAACGCTAAGGAAGGAGATTTAATATTCTTTGCCAACTAGAGACTTAGATCTTAAAGCAGTTTTATTAGAGAATGATCAAACACCAATCACAAAAAGACAATTTCCAAACCACACCCTACGTAACAAGAAACCCTATTTCAAATTGTAATGGCTAAAATTTTAAAGCTGCTTGGTTTAATGCTGCCCGATTCCCATGACACTCGACTGCTGCGTGAATAACACCTGTTGGAATGCGAAAAAATAACAACACTTAGAGAAATTTATTGATCTGTGGCATTAGTAAAAGTAGCAAATTACATCCAAGAGACAATTTATCCAATCTTGTTACAACTTGAGTAAAAAAAAAAGTCTAGATTGCATTTGCACTCCTGATCCCTGTGGTTCCCTGGGTTGATAACGCTATCCACCGATTAAATCTGTATCCATTGTACGGCTCAGTAGGTTTTGTTAAAAATTATCCCCTGGAGACGGGAGAGATTTACCCGCCTTTGGAACAACTGGACCTAGGAGCCTAGGAGGCAGGGATGGCGGAAGGGGGGAGGAGGAGGTAATCAGTCACCTGACTGAAATTTTTTTTCAAACTAGTCAGTTGTTTACCTAAACAGAGGGACTTTTCTAAACTTTTTAATAAAACGGTGGGTCATTGTTCTTGTTTAGTTAGAGACTACAGTGCCATGGATGTATTTAGTAATTTCTCATACCCACCTCAAAAGGATTACAAACCCTCAGTAAATATTGTGATTATTCCGCCATAGGTAGTAGTCTATGCTCATGTTATAGAGGTCATGTTATTGTTCAAATTTAGAAAGGACCACTGCAAACCATTCTCGTTTACGAATCAATTCATGTTGCTGGCGGGTTCTGACGATAAAGAAAACGCAGCCATATTGTGTGTGTGTGTGCGTTAATCACGCGTGCGCAGGGACGATGTACGGTGCAATACTGCAGAGTAACCTCATGGAGAGCTACAAACTTAAAATCTTTTTAGTAATTACCTTATTTTTTTTTGGTTTTTCCAAATCCCTCTTGTGTTGGAGAGGCTTAAACTCTGACAATATCCTCTTCGGCTGAGTAAGTCACTATGATAATGGTGTAATAAGTTTATGATGATAAATAAGGGACTAGGTTTGCTTTTTAAACATTCTAGTTACACAAGCATGCGCAATAATATCTGTGACATTCCTTAGCATAACAACGGCCAACCAGAGCAAATCATGATCAGTCATTTTGGAAATTATTATGCTGCCACTTACAGAGTATTACAGAGTTTTGTTTCACGGCCAATTTCGTTACATTACAAAGATACTTGTACGACAATAAGATACGGTAAATAGACTTCTTAAATAATACAGTGAATATTCTTATTACCATCTGAACACGGCTGTTCATTACAAGGTCTGGTCTCCTTCAAAGGGCCATCACAGGTCTTCCCGTTTCCTTGGGGGGGAGGGTTGGTACAGTTTCGTGTTCTTGCCTGAACTCCACCTCCACAGCGTGCATCACATTCAGACCAGAGACTCCAGCGGGTAAAACCGCCATCTACACCTGGAAAACACGGGTACTTTGAGTGATACTCGTCATCAGATACCATGGGTGCCCGACATAGGAGCAGAGTCACGCGCGATCTCTGAGACATGAAGACTTAAAGCTAAAATTTTCAACTTGCGTGTCGACCCTTTCCCTTTGTAGCCATCACTGTTCCGTTTGGGGCTGTTTTAACCTATGTTCTGAGTGTTATGCGCGTAGGTACAGTGATTTCATTCTTAACACGGCACTGTTTTCAACATGTGTTGTCAGCTCGACAGATTGGATCTTTTAACTCGTTTTAACTAACGAACCCTAAGGGGATACACTCAGTTTACTTACTGCACGTTTCAGCCAGAATGTCATTGAACAGATCTGACAGTTTGTCGAAGTTGCTTGCGTTGTGAACGTTTTCCCCGGCGATTTCTTCCAGTTGGCCTTGGAAATCTTCATACTGACCAATTCCTACTGCAACAATACGGACGTCTTTTGCCTTTGAAGGGAAGGAAAATTGGGAATCTAGGCCACTTTCAAGAAGCTTTGTAAAGAGTCTATATTCAGGATTTGGCTAGTCATTCACCGAACGACCTTAAACGAAGATGACATTTTCTCAGTTATTTTCAGACCTGGTGCTATCAGAAGTCGCATAAAATTCTTTTGCATATGACATCCGCGTTTCCAAGAAAATAAATGGCGCTAAAAGGAACAGGTGAACAAAAAGGAGTAAATTGTAATAGCGTGGGATTCTAACCTCCAGAAGAGGGATGATCGTAGAGAAGGGTTTTGATGCTGGATTGGTTCTTCCGTCCGTCAGGATGATCAGAACATTTGGAAAATCCGGTCTGTCACCTCCCTCCTCAGTAAACAGTTTTCCTGCGGCAGCCATTAGAGCTTTATCTGTGAAAGTACGGTCACCAAGGAAGACGGAAATCTTAGCCAAGAAGTCGTGTACAGCTTCGTTACTGTACAGCCCGCTATTTGCAAAATCGCTGAGGACCTTAGGTTTCCTGCTGAAAGTGATTATACCAGTGTGTGTAGCGTCTGGACCGATGTTCAACGCGGCAACGAGCTCGAGAAGGAAACCTCTGAGCAGCAAAAAGTTCGGCACTCCCAGGCTGCTGGTTTTGTCTATTATAAATGCCACGTCCATTCCCTTTGAGTTCTCGCAAGGATCAGGTGCTGCAGGAAATTATAAGAATGAAACAGAGCTTACGGTAGCCTGCACAATTTTACTGAGTTCTCCTTCGGGATCGCTTTGGCCGGGGATTCCGATCGGGATCTCGCCGATAGGATAGTGTCGCCATCCCGTCATCTAATACTCAAAACTTGCTCGCAAGCGGATTGATTTTATTCTATTTTTAAGTCAAGAATAACACACACCAGTAACATAACATGTATTCATTGACTGTGCGTTAAGGCCGGACGGGAAATATTTTGCTCGAGGTCCGGACCAAGTCATGCCATACCAAGTCAAGAAATAAAGTTGTAAAAGAATATTTAGGAAGTAGGTATATGTCAGGAGACTATAATTATATACTCACGACAGATCAAAGTTAAAATATCATTAGTTGCATCGTCGAGGCTTTTATAGTCGTCCACAAAAAATAGATTTTTGCCTCCAATGTAGTCAAGGACTTGGCGATATTTAGGTTTCCTGGCGTCAGGGCCGATACCGACCACGATTATACGGACACCTCTCATCTTAAAAATAAAATAGAGAGAACTACTTTTGTAGATCAAGTAAATCGTTTAGCGAAGTAAAGGAATATCTGTATAAGAGGTTACAGAGCTTAACGCTCAACCAGAGGAATGGTTGGGAATTGGCCTCTCTTTCTATCGGTTTTAACGTCGATCTGCCATGCGAGCAGCCCCCTTAGCAAAGTTTATTCCAAGTTGCCTTTCCTTCTTTTTTACCTTAAGTGCAACAATATCCAGATAAAAGTCTTCGGTATCAGGATGTGATCTTCCATCCGTGTATAGAACCATTGCACTCCTGACGCCCGGTCTCTGTCCACTGGCCTCTTTAAACATTTCGTCTTTAGCAAGCCTGAGTGCTTTGTCCAGTCGAGTGGGTTGGGCGAGGTTGTTGACGCTGTTTGATATCAATTCAAGTATGGCGTCCTCACTGTGATATTGCTCGTCGTTGAATTTATTGTGAAGCGTAGCCTGCTTGGAGAATGTCTCCAAAGATACGTGGGTTCCATCGCCGGTAATGTCAAACTTTTGAACAAGGTGTTTAAGTGCTGCTACCAGTTTTGGTATGTTTACTTCTTTAATACTTTTTGTCGTATCAACCAACAAACCAAGATCCAGTTTACACCTGGATTTCTCTAAAAAACGGGAAAAAGCAGGAGGCTTCGGCTCTTTAAAAGATCAGCAACAGAGAAATACTTCAGTTCTGTAGATTCATCAGCAACACAGACATAACTGGGTTTGCACAAGAAAAAGAAAATAACAGCTGTCATGTTCGCCTTCGTTGTGCTTCACTCATGAAAACATTTGTGAGCCTCGATTGAGCCTCGAAAGGCAAGGTCACCGTGCACAGCGAATTATCTTTAAAATATTTGAAAGCTACTTGTTTGCTACTTGTTCGTCCTCAACGCACCGAATATCTGTATAAGTTAACTAGAACAGATTGGCATGCGGGATTTGCAAATTCCAATTTCATTTCTAGTTCGGAACTCAACGACTTACTTGAAATCTCCTTCAAAAGGGTTCCTTCTGCAAGAGTACGCGATCGCACTTTTGTACAAGGGAGTAAATTCCCAGACTTGAACTCAAAAAATACTCTAGGAATTCTTGGTTATAGTGTCAAAAGAAAGTAGTTTCCATTGTCGATTTCATCTTAAGGGGTGAAAATTTTATCTTCACGACCAGGGCACTTTTAAACAAATGACCTTTGTTAAAATTTGAACATCTTTGTGCAGCTATTCACACAAACTACACAAACGATACCCTCTAACATGTTGATCCCAAATGAACCAAGGTTATGAGATGTTCCACTCCACCACTGAATTCTCTGTAGCTCAGAAGTAGAGTATCAGATCGCAAAATCCGAAGGTCTGACTATTCTCGTGGAAACTCAGATTTTTCCATCGACCCAGGTGCATCGAAGGAATGACATGTTTCATTCGTTGACCGACCTAAAATTTACTATCTCTTTCAATCGATTGATGTATTCCATACGAGAAACGTCTCGCCGAAGAAAATATACAATAACAGAATTTAAGTATCACTGGACATTTTTCGTTGTAAGCTATGGAGATGGGATTACAAATGTCAGGTGAGATTTTTTCTTAGTTCCAGTTTTACGAACGTTTGTCCCCTTGAGGTTCCAAAGGAGAGCTTTCGCTTAAAATTACAATGGAATATTAAAAGATTCTCGGTTGAGTAAAGTATATTGAGCGTTTCACCTACCCTCAGCAGTTGCCAGGGAAATTGAAAGCAGAATAATGACAAATTTTAGAACAGTCATCTTAGTTCAGCTGAAAAATAAACAAGGAAAACTCTTTGAATTAAAACTCGGGTTAGGTATTAACATTTGTAACAAATTAAGCTGTCTGCGAAGACACCAAACAGCACGATTTACAGCAAAATGGTTACTGTCTCAACTTGACAGTAAATTGTTAATGCTTGGAAATACATTGAGCCCGTGATAGTATAAATGATGGAACCGAATCAACAGCAGACTTTCTTGGGGAGAACACAACTAATTAAGATAAAAGATGAAAGTAAAAAATAAGCTATGAAACAGAAAAGAAGCCAGAAATTAAACAAAATCTGAGAGAAGACGCAAAAAAGATAGATTTGAATTTCAAAGGTAAAAGTGAATTATTATCGGAATGCTGGGAAACTGCTGCATTCTCGAGTAATAGACATTGAAGAGGCTAATGAGTGTTTCCCCTTTTCTTTTTCTTAAAGAATCACTACGACAGCAACACACTGGCGGAAAAATGAATCGCTGATGAACAATAACCCCTTCGAACGTTTTTTGTTTAGTTTTTACTTTAGCCCCAACCCTATATTATAAAAGCCGGACTTCTTAGACCTTCTTACTGAGGATTACCTACCTGAAGTGACGAGAAGCAACTGTTCATATATCGAGGGGCTGTGGAGTTGTAAGTTTAGAAAGTAAAAGTCACACTCTAATAAAAGCCTTTAAATAATGAATGACCTTTCTTGAGTAATGTTTTGGTAGCCCCCTGTCCTGTTCACTCCCACAAGTGGTTTAGTTATTTGTTGAGTTTGACATCTAATTACAACCGTACAATGCTATTATTTACGGAGATGCTCTTCCTTAAAATCGTTTAGCTGGATATCATCAAATTAAATAGTATCCTTGCCTGATTATTAAACTTTCTATTCCTCATACCTGAAAGCTATTTCTTCTGATTGATGATCTTGCATTTCTTTGTTAGCTACTCTAAAAAATTCAGGATTATATCAACAGATTATCGTCTCGCAAAATATTGTTTTCAAACTCTTATCACATGTCTATAAAAAAAAAAAAAAATTGTAATAAGAACATAGTCAAATGTGTGAGTTGGAAAGTATAGCCACACTGTGAATTACTCGATAGACGTTTTTCTTTTTATTTATAACGACTGTGTTTCTCAAGATGTTCCACTCATCACGTTTCAGGAGAGATTGGTAAAAAGCACACCAGCCTATTGACTTGGAAACAAGGCAGTTTTCTCAAGACTCACCTTGAAGAAAATTCTCGAAGGCCAATGTGGTTAACGTATAAATATTTGGTCATTCAACCTTTAAGTCGACATAGAGACAAAATTGCAATAGCACTTGAGAAAAATGAGGAATTGTCTGAATGTGTGAATTTAATAGTGACCCTCAACAATGTTATTATAATGGTCTCCTTAGTATTTTCTCTTGAAATTCTTTCCGTCGGCATAAAGACAAAATAGAACTGAAGAAAAATGAGGAATTGTCTGAATAGAACTGAAGAAACATGAGGAATTGTCTGAATGTGTGAATTTAATAGTGACCCTCAACGATGTTATTATAATGGTCTCCTTAGTATTTTCTCTTGAAATTCTCTCCGTCGGCATAAAGACAAAATAGAACTGAAGAAAAATGAGGAATTGTCTGAATGTGTGAATTTAATAGTGACCCTCAACTGTGTCATTATTATGGTCTCCTTAGTATTTTCTTTTGAAATAGCCTAATCGATAATTGCCTTAACGAAGAAGACTGCAAACATTCTGGATTCAAACAACACAATGTAACTATGATGGCGAAACTGCTTCAAATTTGTATTGCAAGTGCTTGTGAAAGTGACGATTACTGCCATGGCCACCCGGTTAATATTGAAAGTTATTCCCCCTAAGTTTGTTACCATATTCATCGACAATCATAAATTACCACTTGACTCAAGGGTACATAATTCTAGCAGTGTTGCGAGGCTAGAAACCAAAACTTGGCTCTATTTTTGTTTCTTCAAATGCCTTGAATCCGACATGGTAAATAGGGAATGTAAATTCGTCAAAAGAGATCAAGCGATGTCTGCTTTAATCCATCTCAAACGGACACCATGAATTATGTGTCATTAAAAATTAATTGTGCTTTTCCAGCAACAAAGGTAGCCGACCTTTAGAGCGCTTCGTTCTTCAGCCGTTAATGAAAAGACGTTTCTATGAAGAAAACAATAGATGTAACAGAGGTTAAAATAATTAGTTTTATTCTTTTGTGTTTTCATTTTAGGTCGTGTGGTGATATTGCTAGCGCAAACCGTCTATTAATTCATAGTTCTGCCCTATATTTCCAATTTATCTGAAAGGGCAAGATGAATTCGCAACTTTGTGTTTTAGTGTTTTGAAGTTTGTTTATTTTGAGGTAAGAAAGAGATAATCGCGCTAGGATTTTGTTTCCAATACAAGGAGTGTGATATTCCGTAAGATAACGCTGAGTTTCAAGCCATGTAGATAGAGAATAATACATGGGCGCGCGTAGATGTGGAACACGAGAAGAGAAATTTCATATCTGCAACACAATAGCCCTTTACTGACAAGAAAAGCCGACTTATGTATGAATGAAAAGAAAACGATCGACAATCCCCGAAAAAAAAATATGAAGTGCGTTGGCGCTAAGGTAAAAAATGAAGAAATGCGTTGAATCATAACAAAGACAACAATGGGCTCAAGTTTGAATATACAAAATTCTTACTTTGTCCGTACCGACATAGGAAATCTTTCAGGTACTCGGTCAAAATCGGCCTTTGGCAAATCTTCCAGTTGTCACTGAGTACTTCACTTTTCATATTTTGGTTTTCTTCTTCTTTCAGGAAAGGTTTGAACGTCACTGTCTATGAGAGGTACGGATTTTTCAGTGTTTTAGCTGCAATAATCCGAGAAAATTTCGACAAACGCCCATGGATTAAGAATGGTGGAGGCTTTGTCGTTCTTTCAGCAACATGACCGTGTGGCACGAAAGGCGAGTGGCGTGTTAGCCCTTCTTTCTGACGAAGGGCTAACGCTCGACATGTCAGCTTTTAAACTCTTTACGGTGGCCAATTTACGTTATCAACTCAGTTGATAATACAAAATTACCCTGTTATACTCTCCCACCGACGCAGCACCACAGTTTCTTTAGAAACTTACCCCCTTTATTCATTTAAAAATTCATCGCTTGCGGATGAAAAGTACAATTGTTTTTAAGCACTATACAATCAGCTTGAAAAAAAGGTGTTAACCGTGCTAAAATTAAAAATAAATTAGTTATATGACAGGGTCGTTAAGAGAAAGAGAGATGATCAATAAGCTTTTACGTTTGGAATAGATTTTATTTTCGTTCATATTCGGCTTTCAATATCAATCTAGCGAGGATACTTTCGATTAGTACATAGTATATAGTATTTATAGAAATTTACTGGCATTAACCCATTACGCTCTAACATCAGTATGCATCTTCTCCATACTGTTCTCATTGTATTTCTTTAGGTTCCGACAAGGAGAATTTTTTTTACAAGCTTGAGCTTCTTAGGCTGGTGATCATTTCCTTTCTTCACCATAGTTACCGACGTGTCTTCACGGTTTTCTACGTCACAACTATGTAGCATGGTCGTTTTGGTCGCGTGCCTAATGGGGACACTTTTTGGCTGCCGAACCGTACCTTCAGTGCACACAAAAATGGTTAAGGATAACTTGCTAAGCGCCAACGTCAAGTATTTCTAATTTTAAATACAGCTATCAACCAGAAAATGCAAAACAAAAAAAAAATTCGTGTCATATACACTTTAATGAAAAGACGTTTCTATGACGAAAAACAATAGATGTAGCAGAGGCTAAAATTATTAATCTTACTCTTTTAGAGTCTTATTTTTAGGTCGCGTGGTGATATTGTAAACGCAATCCGTATATTACCTCATAGTTGTGCCCTATATTTCTAATTTATTTGAAAAAGAAAAGATATCTCCTAACAACGAATTCGCACCTTTCTGTTTTCTGTTTTAAAGTTTGTTCATTTAGAGGCAAGAAAGAGATAAACACACAAGGATTTTGTTTCCAATATAAGTAGTATAATATTCTGTAATAAAACGCCGAGTTTCAGGCAATATAAAATGTGGTTTTTTTATGCCTAACAAAGGCCAGTCTTTACGACAATAATCCTTTCAGTTAATAGATATCTATTACTCATCAATCCGTAAAATTAATTTATTTTTAACGGGCATGGTATTTTAGAACTATGAAAGCCACGCACAACGAGGTTGGTGCTTGTCACTAGAAAGGAAAGGAAAATGTCTATATTCATTACCTAGATGCATTGAATCGCAACTTCACGGAAATTTTTTTGTTATCGACCGTTTAAGTTGCAGTTTTAGGATTAAACGTACAATAATTCGAGAATTTAATAATCCAACCGAATCGCAACTGTGTAAAAATGATAGTTCCGTGATTTTTAGGTGGATACTGGCATGATCAGCTGGATCAGGCTCAACTTGACAACACGTGCTCCATTGAGTGGGTGTTTTTCTTAAACGTTCAGTGAAGCATTCCGAACAGTAATGAATTGGACATTTGCTATTCAAAGCGATTAGCGGAGATTAATTAGACGCTTAAGTGGAGCTTTACAGAGAAAACAGTGTTTTAAGGCTGTTAAATAACAATAATATAAACAGAAAATTTGAAGAACAGGACAGACTCACGGTACCCCACTTTTTCTTCAAACATCAAGTTACGCGCTTTCCTTTGAAGCTGACGTTTCGAGCGTTAAGCCTTTTTTCTGACAAAGGGTTAACGCTCGACATGTCAGCTTTTAAACCCTTTACGGTGGCCAATTTACGTTATCATTCGGTTAATAATACTAAATTACCCTGTTAGACTTTCCTACCGACGCAGCACCATAGTTTCTTAAGAAAGTTACCCCCTTTATTCATTTACATATTCATCGCTTGCGGATGAAAAGTACAATTGATTTCAAGCACAATACAATCAGCTTGAAAATTTTGAAAAACAAAAGTGTTAACCGTGCTTTAATTAAAAATAAAGGAGTTGTAATAGAGGGTCGGTTAGAGAAAGAGAGCTATTTTAGCTGAATAGCGTCTGATGCGTAAATTTTTTTCATTCATACTTCCAACACCTCAACAAGCTAAAATGACATATTTAGAATATTTCTGCTTAATAACAATTTTTTTTCTGTTAACAAAAGGGAAGAGCACAAAGCGTAAGAGACCTTCGTTTAGAAACTGGGTGAGGAGAGCGTTGTCCACTAATTGATTATTACATAGTCCATTAGAATTCAGCGTTTGCATCATGTATAATGTTTTTTGCTTGTTTTTTTTTCAATGAAAATCCTGAAAATAAAAATCTAGAAGTCCCAAAGACCAGAATGTTTATAAATTCAGTGCAGAGGATAAAAATCATAATTTGTTTACACGCACAATCAGCTTGAAAGAAGAAATTGTAAACCGAGCTGAATTCAAAATAAAGTGGTTGTTTCCTAAACGTGATTGTGTTTTTCGACCGAAGTTAATGACAGCTTGTTCTGAGTATTTTGTAAAGTTTAATACACCTTTATCTCGCAATAAGAAAAGTTATCGTTTTGTCGCTTTTACGTCTTCGCTGACTGAAAAAGCTTTGTTCGTATTTCCTTCATCTTAATGAGCTAGGATGACACATCTTGTAAATTCTTGCTTGAAAAGAGTTTTTGTTTTTTTAAAAAAAATGAAAAATAGGACAATAACCATTGTAAGGGAATTAGCCAAGATTAATATCATGTTTTGGCCATGAAAAACTTTACAGAACAGATCAGGGAAAAAAAAGGATTTTGTAGACCTCTACTCATTTGTTGTTGTAGTCAGTATGATGCGCTGGGTTGTATGTATGTCATCAGTGAAAGTTTCTAAGGTGCAGCATTTCAACATCAATCTAGCGAGTATATTATGTACATCATAATAAACAAAAGACTTTCAATTAGTACATAGTAAACATAGTTTACAAAGTAGGTGATTGGCTGAAGCGACGATAATAGATAAAAGAAATTTACTGGAATCAACCCTTTAAACCTAACATCAGTATGCATCTTCTCTATACTGTTCTCTTTACATTTCTTTAGGTGCTGGAAAACATGAGCTTTTAAGGTTGGTGATCATCGCCTTTATTTTCATGTCCTTTATTCGGGGCTGATACTGTAGGGAGAAATTAGATGCTGGTCACTCTCAAGAAAAAAGTTTAAAGCCGCCGGGATGCCCAGCTCGCGGTCAATTACTGAACAAGGTCCAACTCAACCCTGTTATTGAGCCTGGTAAGTCGCTACGTGTTCAAGGTTTGTTGTGAACAATATTTCTTATTCACTGAACTAGTAAGTTTAAACTTTTATCGGTAAATTGAGTGTTTCTTGTCTGCCCTTAAAAAAAACCAGCTGTGAAAATTCCCCGCCGATAGCGTTCGCCTGGACATATATGAGCGACGAAAGTCGCGCCCAATAATTTATTTCAATTTGACAAATCTTACGCCAAAGTTAGACTGGAAAGTGACTTTCTTAGATTCCAATTTCACATAGTACTGTATTAAATACATAACGACACCAGCCCGCAAAAGGGCAAAAGCTATTCTAAGTGTGTAGTGGATAAAACTATTTACCTTGTCAAGTAAATCTAGTTATGAGTGTTACATATATAACATTTAAAAAGACGCGTCATTTTGTTACTGTGAATGAGTGCGCCCTGACAAATGCGCAAGGAGTGGTTTCGATTCGTGAAAACATCTTCACTCCTTAAAAGAAACAGATACACAGATGAAGGCATGCAGCCCATGTATGCAAATTTACTTTCTGGATCAGTACACCGACTCGTTGAAAAGTATCTAAGGGACAAGTGTTTACTTCAAATTGAAAACGTATTGTCTGTATTTAAACAATCGGCCTAATTGGCTTTCAAGGTCACTAGTTCCTATTGTTATTAATGCAATAAAGTTATTGCATGGTTAGTAAGTGTCCTGAAGCAAGACATCCCATTATGTTCTTCTAAACGACGCGAATTCCTGTCACAAGATGACAGAATTTGAGAAACGAACTAGCCATGACGCGTACTGATCAATTACACACACATTCGAGAATTTTTTGGAGTTATGATTAAGCAACAGAAGGAAACGACGATTTTTTTTTAATTTAACTGATCATTTCTTCAGAAATCATTTTGCGTAGGCCCTATTGTAGTTTGTGCGATATATAGACATTAATTTTGACGACATAGTTCATCTTTTAGTTTCATTACATTTTGCCCTATTTTTTTAGTTTTTTTTGCTTATCCGTTTTTTTTTTTTTTTTTTTTTTTTTTTTTTTTTTACCTCAAACTTTACTTTTTTCACTTTCATCCTTTCCTGAGTTGTATTTGTCCCAAGGGAGTCTACTCCTGACTCGGTCCATTACTTTTATTACTCAAATGTTGATCTTCATGAAGGTATTAGCAATTTACTGCCATTTTAGGACAGTAGTATTCTTCACTGCTACAAATCGGGCGGTTTAGCGTCCACGTATGTCACGTAGCGTCTTCACTGACAACAAACACTTCCTGGGCGTAGATGGTTTTGCGTAATGTGCGACGATATGGCGTCTTCGACAATATGTTCTCTTACTTAATTTCCAACACACGATCCTACCCCGGGGTATAATCAAAAGATTTTTCCTTGTCTGCTTTTCAGGTGAACCAAGATGACTGTTTCAAGTTTTTTTGTTATTTTCGTTGCAATTTCATTGGCAACCGCTTACCACGGTAGGTGAAACACTGCAAACGCTTTAACTCCTAGAAATCTTTCAATATTTCATTGCAACTCTAATACCCCATTAAAAACATGTTTAGATAAACCGGTGAAACTTAATGAAAAATCAGAAATAGAGAACTGAAAACTGAATTTTCCTTGGGATTCTAGTAATCGCTACCTTGCATTTTCAATGTGCGACTTTGCTTCGCGGATGGGTAAATATCCACCACTATTTTCCAACACTTCGATGATTAATTATTGGATATTTCTCAGTCAATACGTTTCCTTTTCTTACGCAACCTCAGTTACGTCCGTGTTGTTGATGAAAACCAAGTTTAGAACGCACTTAAACTGAGAGTCGTAAGGTAAAAATCAACCACAGTTACCGTTAGTAGAAAGACAAACTTTACAAGGAGCGAATGACAACCTAAACACTGTAGTGAGCCTGAAGGACGGAAAATCGCGGGTGACCAAGTTACCGTTTTCGGTTTTGGGCGAAAATTTGATTGGTTGATGGGAGGAACTGAGTTTTCTGTATAATCAAATGAAATCCTGCATATCGCTGGGAACACATATGCAAATTGTAAAGGACGGATTGCATATCTTTTCGGCCTATCTGTTTGTGAGGCACGCGGTTCAATTGTTTCACCCTTTAAAACCGTAAAACGACTAGTACCTAATTTTTCCCTACAATAATACTGCCAAATGAACATAAGAATAAAAGAAAATGATTGCCAACCTATGAGGCTCTGATTGTGAACCAATTTCTACTTGTCAGTACCAAAGAAAAGTATAGCAAGGAGTATAGAAAAAAATGGATACTGATGTTAGTATGTAAAGAGGTTGGCCAAGTAGAATCACAACATCAGTTATGTTTTAAAGATGCCTTCTCCATATTCCTGCGCAAGAAGAATTTTTAAAGAGCTCTGAATACTTTTTGTGACGGTTTCTTTCTCCCATTAGAGAAACGAAAATGTAAGATGGATCTTGGTTTGATAGTTGATACAACAAAAAGTATCAAAGAAGTAAACATACCCATACTGCAAAACGCGCTTAAACACCTCGTCGAAGAATTTGACATCGGAAGCGATAGAACTCACGTGTCTTTGGAGACATTCTCCAATGAGGCTACACTTCACAATAAATTCAGCGACGAGCAATATCACAATGAAGCTGCCCTACTGGAATTGATAACAAACAGCGTCAATGACCTCGCCCAACCGACTCGACTGGACAAAGCACTCGTGGTTTCCAAAGATGAAATGTTTACAGAAGAGAATGGATTGAGGTCGGATGCTCAAACTGTGGTGGTTCTCTACACAGATGGAAGATCGCATCCCGATACCGAGGATTTTTTTCTGGATATTATAGCACTTAAGGTAAACAAGAAGAAAAGGCAATCTGGAATAAACGTAACTAAGAGGGCTGATCGCTTATTAGATATCTGGTCCCTTAATAGCCGTCCTAACTTTAACTCCGTTATTTAACCCTTTGCAACCTGATATCAGTATCCGTATTCTCCTTACTGTTCTCTAAACACTTCCCAAGGGGATGACAGGGAGAGCTTATTTAGCATACACAAAGCATCTTTATTTAGTGATCATTTCCTATATTCTCGTAACTTTTAAGGATCGTAGTCAACCACGCTTTTGTTTTTGTTTACGTGTGGGAAACTGTGGGGAAAAAATCGTTCAAAGGTTAAAGGAGGGAAGAGAAGATACCCAATGAAGTTCTGGAGAAATATATGTCTGGAGTTATCTGCTCCGGTAGAAAAGGGCCAAGTAAAATCAAAGAAAACAGCACACAGAAAAAAATTATTACATTTTGTAACGTAATATCATGGCCGGCTCTGACCTCAAGAACTTTCTAATAGGACCTCATAATGGAAATGGCACCAACGCACTTAATCACATCGCCAAGGAAAGTAATTAACTCTTTCACCCCTAAGAGTGACCAGCATCTAATTTCTCCTTACCATACAGCCCTAAATCAAACATTAAGGTCATGAGAATAAAGGAGATGAGCACCAACAAAAGAAGCTCTTGATTGTTGAACAAATTCTCCTTGTCAGAACCCTAGGAAATGTCCAGGGAGTTGTATGGAGAATATGCATACTGATGATTAGGAATAAAGGGTTAAAATATATCCTGGTAAGAGCTTATCTCTGAAAGCCAAAGTTTAAAGTCGCTGGCGAATGGCAGGAGTCGTGCAAGCCCGTCGATACTTTTTAATTTCTCATTTGCTTCTTGTGATCTGCACCTCGTGCGAAGCTTTTCGATACTTTGATGCTGCATGATCTCTGCACATTGGCTGTAAGAATCCTTTCCCTTTGCCCTGTGTCTTTAGGCCTTTCATGGACTTCCATGTGAAGGAACGCGAGATGCCATCGACGGTACCAGTTACAAACAAAAATTTATCAAGAAATTGCCCGGCAAGAAAACCACTAAAATAACTATCCAAAATAAACCACTGATAATTTTAGAGGACGGAGGTCTACGACAATTTAAGACCTCAATATATTTAAATCGCACGGATACCCTCGCATAATAGACCATAAGGGGAATTTCACTGATAAAGATGGCATAAAAAATGGCGCACTGGGCGCGTGATTTCTTGTGGTTGACTAAGATCCTTTAATGTGTGATTCAGGGGTAATGTTGCGATGAGAACTTTTGTGCTAGACACTCTTAAGGGTTAGAGGGGTAAGTTTAGTATTGATACTTACAAAATTCCCAGACACTCATTCCACGCTTCCTTTCTCCGATTCTACCACTTGAGGAAAACGTGGGTTGTTCGGGCGATACAGCAACCGAAAGAGCGGTCAATTGCTAACTTCTTTTTCAGCAGTTTAGCCTAAAGTTCTGTAAACTCTTAGACAGACTTTCCTTTCTTCCTTAAATAACTTACTTGATTTACAACAGTAGCTCTCTTCATTTTATTTTTAAGAGGAAAGGTGCCCGTATTGTCGTCGTCGGTATCGGCCCAGACGCCCAGAAACCAAAGTATCGTCAAGTCCTTGACTACATTGGAGGCTCACATTTGTTTTTCGTGGACGACTATAAAAATCTCGACGAAGCAACCCACGACATTGGAAAACTGATCTGTCGTGAGTATACATAGCCTACAGGGATTTTCTTCCTTCGTAATATTTTTCTAGAAATTTAGCAGAGATAAATTTACGGAAATCATTGGTGGCTAATGTTTCGAGGATTCTTAAGAGTATGGCAAAAAACAAGATTTGCAAGCTTTTTGTAGGATATTTTTTCCACTTTAACTCTGGGCTCTATTTTTAATTGATATTACGTTCAATATTTTTCTCTTTGATCTGTTTGTTTGTTTGTTTTTTTAAGTTGTTGTTTCTGTTTTTTTGCTTCTTTGTAATTTTAGCGATTTGAAGATTTTCTAACATTTCTGAGAAATATAACAAGTATACTACTATAGAAAATGGATACTTAAAATACATTTTATGTTTCACGCGTATGTCACACTTCGATAAAAAAAACTTTTAGGGAAATCACATGCGAATAGAATCAAAGAGCTTGTGGGTCAAATTGCAGGTGTTTGTAGCTTAAAATCGGTAACTGGCCGGCGAATCAGCGTACAATCCCATCAGGGAAATTCCGGTAAAAAACCCGGTGCAAGCGTGCAGGCTACAGCTAGCTCCTCATAATTCTGATTATTTCCCGCAGCACCGGATCCCTGTGAGAAATCTAAAGGGATGGACGTAGCATTTGTGATAGACAAGACCAAAAGTCTAGGGGTGCCGAATCTCTTGCTGCTCAAAGGCTTCGTCATTGAGCTCATTGATGCGTTACACATTGGTCCAAACAACACACACGTTGGCGTGATTACATTTAACAGGAAACCAAAGGTCCTCACCACCTTCGCAGATGAAAAGCTGTACAGCAACAAAGCCGCACACGACTTCATTGCTGGGATGTCTATCGCCCTTGGTGACCTTACCTTCATAGACAGAGCTCTGAACGCTGCCGCACAAAAGCTTTTTACTGAAGAGGGAGGAGACAGACCGAATTTTCCAAACGTTCTGATTCTCTTGTCGGACGGAAGAACAAATATAAATTCAAAACCCTTCTCCAAAATCATCCCTCTTCTAGAGGTTAGCATTCCAGACTATAACAATTTCGTCCCTTACTGATCATCTTTAGCGCCCTTGTAAGTTCTTACACGGCATGCAAAATATCGTTTGCATAATTCAGAAGAATCAAATGTGACCGTTTGAAGCACCACGTCAGGAGGGCCAAAGTAACAAGAAAAATAAGATAAGATTTATTTGAAAATCACTTGTATCGTACCTACTTGACTAACCGCCGCGCTCAATGTGGCGTTTATTCCAAATTATGAGAAATGATATCAAGTAGAGAACAACTCGGTAACCTAAGCTATCCCTGGAGATTTCCATTCTTCACTGAAACTCAGGGCGCCCAAGTGGCTCATATTTTCCCGTCCCTTCCCTTCACAGGAAAAAAAAGTCCACATTGCTGCCGTTGGAATTGGTGCATATGAAGATTTCGAAGGCCAACTGGAGGAAATCGCAGGAAAAAACGTTTACAATGCCAGCAACTTTGACAATCTGTCGGATCTGTTCGAAAACATTCTGGCTGAAACGTGCAGTAAGTGAACCAAGCGAATCTGTATAGGGTATTCGAGTTCGAATCAGTTCAAAGATCCCATGTGTCGCGCCGGCTGACAAACGCGCTGAAAACAATGCCATGCTAAGAATGAAGTCACTTTCAAATGACACTAACCTAAGTGCGCACACAACTCCGGAATATAGGTAACAACAACCCAAAACAAAACACTGACGGTTTCGAGAGGAGACGGTCAACACGGAATTGCAATTTTAGACAAAAGTCTTTATATCGCAGATACCACGAGGAGCTCTGCGCCTCATGTCAAGTAGGCACACCTCACTATGTGTTTGTGGTTAATTATTGTTGACATGAGACGAACAAAATCTGAGGGTTATGAATGATATTTAAAGCTCTGAATATTGCATATCTAAATTATATATCGGTCTGAATATCTCAAAAAAAGGTTAATGAAATGTTACTCGATGCATTTGTGGTAATTTTTCGCCTTCATGGGCCGTTTGAAGCGTCTTTTAACGAAATTACTTTTGACCGGAGGCCGTTAGAAGTAATTTCGTAAAATGGTCACAAAAATAAATGTTCAAATAAACGATTCAGTTAAAAAACGATGATTGTTTAGAACACACTTTTGTGAAACTACGGCTTTACTTCTTTCAAATATCCGGCCCCTTGTGTTTAACAGGTGTGGATGGCCATCTTTCCCGCTGGAGCTTGTGGTCTGAATGTGATGCGCGTTGTGGTGGTGGAGTTCAGACAAGAACACGAACCTGTACAAACCCTTCCCGCGAGGGACGCGGAAAGACCTGTGAGGGTCCTCTGGAGGAGACCAGAGCTTGTAATGAGCAGCCGTGTTCAGATGGTAAGAATAATTTTCACTGTATTCATTAAGAAGTCCGTTTTCGGCAAATTTGGCTGTGAAATAGTGCTAGGTAATACTCTGTAGTTAGCAACATAATAATTTCCAAAATGACTGATTCGCTCTGATTGGCCTATACCTGGGGATCGTTCTAACTAGAGAATTTAAACCAGTTAACTCATGGTGCGAATCTTTATTAGATTGGTCTGTGTTGCCTTTTGACAACAATAACGAAGAGCTTCGTGTAGCCATTCAACACACCTACAGTCCAAAATTCTTTGCATTTCCTGGCTTCTCACAAAGGCTTCTACTAATTTCAGCAAATGCAAGCGTAATCGTGCGAAGGAGTCCTACAGATATCAGTGCGCACGCCCGTGTGGCTTGCAGAGCTAGAAAGCAAACCCATTCCCCTAAATCTCTCCATCAACTTCTCACATCATTATGACTGAACTCTTTTCAGCCGTAGAGGATGACATCAGAGAGTTCATGCGTCTCCACCCCAAGAGGAGGGTCTTGGGAAAACAGAACAAATAAGGTAATTAAAAATATGGACTGAAGTATGTAGCTCTTGTTCAAGCCATTGCCTCGCATTGCATTAAGTACTGTCACTATGACGCGTGATTAGCGCACATACATAAAATGGCGGCGTTCACTTGATCGTCGGGGCCCGTCAGGAACATCAATCTATTCCTAATTAAGAATAGTTCGCAAGAACCTTTCTCCGTAATGACCTCATCTCTATGGTTTGAACATGGCAGAATTACACAGAATTAACGAAAACATTAATTACTAAGGGCTCGCAATCCTTATCAGGTGGATATGAGGAGTTATTGTAAATATGCAAGGCAGCTGGAGAGGCATGGTGACCCGCCGTTTTATTCAAAAATTCAATAAAGTTCTTCTGAAGAAATAAAACACCAGCTGGTTTAAAAATAGCGTCAGCGCAGGTTGCATGTCAAAGGCGTGACCTTTGAGGTTCGACGTTTCAGGTGACCGATTATGCCTCCTACCCCCAGGAGTGCAGACACAATCTGAATAAGCTTTTTCGATGCATAACTTTTAAGTTAATATTTTAAAAAATACCACGGCTCAATGAGTTTCTCAAACTGCTGCTGTTTGTTTCGAATCTCAACAGGTGTTGCCCATGCAGCAATCGAGAGTCATGGGAACCGGGCAACATTAAGTGAAGATTTTGGCAGCTCTGACATTTTAGTTACTATAATGTGAAATACGTTTCCTTGTTACACAAAGTGGGGTTGAAAACTTTCATTTTGTAATTGGTTTTTGAGCAGTCGTGAATAAAACTACTTCAAGATCTTGCTGACGAAGACAACATAGACATATTGTACTCAGGTCTTAGATCTTCTCACTGATTTTAGAAAATTTGAGAGCGGCGCGATGCGCCAAGTGAAGGAGCTCTCTTAATTTTCAGAGCAATCTTGGTCGAATGACTTCCTTTAGGCTCGATTATCAGCCGCCGTACAGGACAGCAAAGTCAGGAGGATCGAAGACTAGACTCGAGAGTACGGCGGAAATTACGCTTCGACTTAATAATAATAATAATAATAATGATGATGATGATGATGATATGATGATTGCAATGATTCAGAAGAATATCAATGACTCGTAAAATTCCCGGAAGGACCGTTTAAGTTTTTCAGTCATAATTCTTAAATTTGTTTCAAACTCCACTAAACATTTTGTTTGGAATTCACGGTCGGTTCATATCCAAGCAAGATCAGGATTATTGCTTGGCAAAACGCAGACGCGAACCGCCGCTGTCTTATTATACACCTGACCGCAGGTAAACGGCAAAATAAGAGGGGATTGCTGATTTGAAAGCGTTTCAGACGCGTTCACACCTGCGCCCTCGATATTCTTTGCTTGCGGTAAAGTCGCGTCCTTTTCGACATACTTCATTAACTTTATTTCTGGCATCGCTAAGTTTCCGCCCGTCTGTGGTATCAGACTAAGAACAACTTCACTAGTTGCCATGACACCTGTGGGTATGGACAAAACACCGTTTTTGCGTCCGTTCACGGCCCACGTGTTTGTATCGGAGTCAACATCGTACATGAGTTGTGAAGTATCAGGAGTACCTTCGTCAAATAACTTTGTAAAAGTGATGTGCCACTTGTAAGTCGAACCTGCAAAGAGTTTCCCAGAATCCTCCGCAGGCTCTACCCTTGAACTTATGGTGTATAATGTCTGGAAGGAAAAAAGGAATGCTTAGGGCTGGGACATCAGAAAAGTTACTACGGTTAATGGATTCCACAAGTTGCACAATTTTTTTTCGGTTTAAAAATTCCGTATGCCATTTTCTTTGGATATGAATACATACCTAGGAGGCCCTTGCACGTAGTTTTCTTTTCGATACAATTTCCTTTACATCAATTATTCAACATACATCTAAATCAATGTATTTCACTGAAATCAAATGTCAGTTTGAGTTACGTTTGGTTGTTGTAGTATTAACTTTCAAGTCCACTCAGTTTAAACAGAAAGTCAGAGAAACGCCAGTGTTTACCTTGGTATTATCCACATTAAAGTCGTAAAGATAGTTTCTCTTCTCCGATGAGGAAAGAATACTGTCCTGCAGAATAGAATCAGAAAAGGTCAAGATAAATTTGAAGACAAGGCGCCAAAAATAAGTAGTATAGAATGGGGGAAGAATGCCTCCTCTGGTTGAGAAAATGGAAGCGGTCGCGACAAATTTGAGAGAGCGTATAGCCTATAGGTCAAGTCTTGCGAACCTAGCGGCCCTCAATACCTTCACATATCCTTCTTCCTATAGCATGAAGCGACTGGGAGCATTCTACCCCAACGGAACGGGATGTTAGTTTCAAGGGATGCTCTCCTTTGTATGAATTCTTCATAACCCCTACAAGACTCAAGCCATCTCCCTCCAATCACTTCTCGCTCTCGCCTCAGACTCCATCGCGCTCCCAACCGGCAGGTCACCGCAAGACCCAAACAAATGAATATTACTCGAGGAATAGCTGAGTGAAGGAAAACGTTTCTAGCAATATCTCCATTGATCTAATGCTATCTTTGACTAACTTACAATCCTACCGTAGTCTCCTTTGGTGAAAACGAAGTCCTAAACTCGCACTCGAGCGCCGACGCTGAACCTGTCGAAAGAAATAACACTCGGCTTGCATTTCCGTAGTTTTCTTCTGAAATCTTAAATAATAGGGCGCTAATATGACATGTTTACCAAGCTCAACATATTTTGCATCCGATCATTGCAACTACAACCAGTCAAACCGTTTGTCTCCTCGTTCAAACGACATTACTTGTCATCAGACTAAGAGCACATTTCTAAGACAGAAAAGGGAATCGAACTTCCTTATCTAATAAGAATTCGCGAGATAACAAAAGCAAAAGTGTACTGCACGATGTTTCCATTTAAACCAATTAAAACAAAAGAACGAAAGGCGATTTTTACATTCAAGAGAACTGTAGAAATCGACAGCAAGCGTAGTATTGGAGCTACTGGAAAAGTTGACATTAATCCCTGGGATAAAGCCGGCATTATCCAATTCCCTGGGAGATTTTTCCCTAGTGGAATCCCAAAGTTTAACCATCATAACTGACACTATATGCAACTTATCTTGTTGGATTGTTTCTTATCTTATAAGATTATTTAAATTGAGAAAAGGTTACCTTCCTTACAATCGACTTTCCAGAGGAAGGATACCTCTTGGTTGTTGACGATTATCTAAAAAATATAAAATCAAAGATAAATAGCAAGAAAAAGGAAATGCAAATACTGAGAATGTGTAGTAATTGAAACACTCACATATTCCACAGAGCTGTGCAGAGGTGTGACCTTCACCGAAGAGCAGTTGGTGATGATCAACTGAGGAGCTGAGATGACAAGATCAATAGGATTGATTCCACTTACTATCACTTGAACAAATCGGCTGAAAAAAGAATTTAAAAAACCGCATCAAGTTAAAAAGTAGTGCCAGCAGTCCCTTTTTCAAACTAATTCCATTTGTGTACACTAAGAAGTCTTCTTCAGGTATACGCAAATGGCCAATCAGGAGAAAGGGAAAAACCTTATAAAGCCAAGTAGAACTCCAGGGGAAAATAAGCAAATAGCCTATAGCGCGGGAAAACGCGGGCGACCAAGTCGTGATTGGTTTTAGTTTTGCATCTGATTGGTTGAGAGTGTGACTTGAGAGTTTTCCGGACCAACCACAAAGCCAAAAATAAAGCCATCCACTCGGGATTAGTTCAAAAGGCCCTAGATCAAACTCACTTGCTTTCAGACGAGAGAAGCACGTGACGAATGGAAAACGGACGGTGAAACAAGCATGACAGCTCTGCGGTGACCACTGGAGACAGCCACTTACAACTGAACACAAGCTGAAAAGAAAACATGAACATATTCTAATTTTCATCTTTAACTTTGATCGTCACCCTAAGAAAAAATGCTAGTCTTTCTCAATTCTTGTCCGAACCTTGTGTTCTGTGATTTCCTCCTGAATACTCTGCTTCTCCAAACTTGCACGCAGCTTCAAGTTAAAATCGATTCTAGCGTAGGGTCCTAAGGCTGGAAGGGTAACCATGGCAACAGAGCTGCCAGGGACACCATCATCTTCAGGAATCATGTTGACTGCTACACTGTAGGGAGCTGTTTTTCTCTCCTCTTTACCCATTAAGCAATTTATAATAGCGTGTCCGGACTGCACAGGTTCGAAGGTAAGACCAGCGTTTGTAGAGATTTCCAGCACTGACCCGTCTGCAATGGATCCAGACTCGACTGACACACTGAGAGTAACTTGTTGTAGCAGGCCAGATAACAGATGATGGTCTAAGGGAAAAAAAATCGGGAAAAGATAACTATAAAAGCTAAGTTTTTTCGTTTGTCTCACGATGTAGTCACGTGTGATGTAGATCTACATCACACGTGACTACATCGTGAGACAAACGAAAAAACTTAGCTTTTATTGTTATTCACGATGAATAACCACGACCTCTTTTACGAAAAGATAACTGGTTGCATACCACCAACATTAAGGTAAAAGACAATAGATTACAAAATCTTGTTGAGCCTGTTGAGCCTTGGCATATAAAATTACATAGAGGCCGAATATTTGCACTACGGAAAAAAGTCCAGGAAAAAAAGCAGCAAAATGATTTGCAGTACCACTTATGGGGGAGATAATATGAGCAATTATACATTGTGAAAGAACAAGGATATTCGCTCGCCTCTACCAATCAGCTGAGTATGCAATTGTTCTTTGGAGCACGCTATGTAATCTGGATATTCCAGGAAGACAAGCTAACATAACCAGCCAACAGTCATGGCGCTATAATTACAAGGTTTTAGAATAGCCAATTAACAACGGTCTCCTTATAAAATAAAAAGAAGGACAAACCCCTTTCGTGAGTCCAGTTTATTTGTGGAGGATCGCACACGATGGCAAATCCTCTGGACTGCCTTGATAGAGATAACTGTGGCCAAACAAAGTCCAGACGACCAATCTCCACACAAAGCTGCCTTAGGAAATAGTTACCTGGTTCGGACAGCTGCAGAGAGGATTTCAAACTGGTAAGAATAATGAACTAAGCTCAAACCGTATCATCTTTCTTACCCCATCTTTAACCAGAACGCTCCTGATATTACTAATCCTTGCTGAATGCAGGTCACTTTTTACATATAGACTTACAATCCGTCTCTAGAAGAACGTTTACAACGTTCTTTCGTCCCTCTTCCCCTTCCAATGCTGTTCATTTCCATTGTCTTCGTTGCATCTAGCCGGCCAACAATAAGAGTGGCAAGCGGAGGCAGTAAGTGTTCAGACAAACGTTGGCAGGAGTATGGTATAACGTTTAGCTAGATACTGAGTCCTCTGTTAATCAGCTGTTCAGCCATCCGATCGCTAATTTTCAACTTCATAAAGGGTTTTGGGGTACTGCTACGCCTAGAGGATAGATGCAAGGCCATCACTGGCAAACTCCCCCTCCCCCACACCCCAGATTATACTTGTAGTGTTTGACCATTCACGTACGTTACGTTAGGTTTGTACCATCACCACTCATTACGTGAGTCACTCATCATTCTAAAGAGTAAAAGGGTCAAATTGTTAACATCAGGCCCTAGTTGTTCGAAAAGCGGACAACGCTATCCACTGGTTAAATCTCTATCCAGTGGGTAGCGCAGCGCGTATGAGACCTCTTATCCCCTGGATAGCGATCCATCCGTTGGATAGAGTTGTCCGCCAATTGAACGACTTCACCTTGATTCCAACAATGAATAAGAAAGCCAACCTGTGCAGTGAGGTTATACTCGTTGACCCCATATTTCAAGGGAACATTGAAGCATTGTAGACAGCAATCTGAGTCACCTCCATCTGTTAAAACATTCAACTCTTCTACACTCTTCACCTCTGGTAATAATGGCGGTCGAGGGGGCAGCGGACGAGATTTTTCTACTCTGTCAACTTCAGAGAGCGCTTCTCCGTCTGAAATGGGAAGAGCACATCAAAAACCCAAAGAAAACGATAAGGATAAACCTTTTAACACCCTAACATCAGTATGCATATTCTCTATACTGTTCTCTCTATATATTTACCATTGTACTGACAAAGATAATCTGCTTATGAATCATGAGCCTCTTTATTTAGCGTCTTGGTAATCATTTCGTCTATTCTCACAATACAGTATCATTGCGGACTCAAACATGAAGTTGACTCCGCAATGATACTGAGGCTAGAGGTTAAGGATGGCGAAGATTTTGCTGGATCGCCAGGCGCCAAAATGAAGGTTAAATTATTCAAAACCTACAAACTTTGGCGTATTTAGTCCGGGGAAACAAATTACCTAAGTTTCAAAATTCTCTCCACCTCTCTTCGGGTAGTTATACTAAGATTTAGTTAATTTCTCCTTCAAGTAAAATCTTAGTGTGGTTCTAAGACACTGCGTCACACGGAGTCATTGTGTGATATAGGTAAATGCTACAAATCATTCGCCACGGTATCGAAAGTATTAATATTTATTTATCCAAATAAATGTATATGGAGGTGTAATTTAACCGAAAACAAATAAAGACAATTATCTTACCAGATAATATACCGAAACGACTAAAAGAAATAAAACTAGGACGCTAATAAAACATATATAGATTATGAGAACGAAAAACTACTAGCACGAAAATCAACTATATGACAAGTGCTGGCGAGTGAAGCAAACAAATACTGATGAGAGAACAAGTGTTTACCTTTACGTAATCCTTGCGTAACCTCACGCAAAAACGCAAACAAAATAAAATAAAAATTATTTAGCAATTATTTTTGAAATACTAGTTGCTACACGTGATATCATAACAAAAATCAAAGTAACGGTAAGTCGTACCGGCTGCTTGATCCTCTGTGACAGGTTTATCTGACAAGTCTTCCTCAGAGAGCGCAGCTGAAGACAGCCTATTCTCTGCAACTTCTGGCGGAGACGTAGCTCGGTTTCTCTTACTTGAACGAATGCTACCCACACGCTTAAGATCATTTGTCTGAATACTGAAGCTGATCCGTCCACAAGTAACCTCCTTTGAGGGAAAACAGGAACTTGTGAAAATTTGAAACAAAGAAAAGCAGCTTTGTCCCTCTGGACTAATTTTTTCTAAATTGTACGAGTATATCATTCGCAAACAGTTTCAATCCTTTTAACCACTCCTGGGGGACCTTGGCAACGATTAATTCCACGTATTACCATTGAGGCAACTCGCTGACACCTACAGGGACTCAATACATCAGTGCTTTGCTCCTTTAACACAATACACTCTTGTATTAGTTTGCATATTTTCCATAATGTTTTCTCTAAACCTTCTTTGATGTTGACAGGGAGAGTTCGTTTAAAAATCAATAACCTCTAAAGTTGGTGATCATTCCCTTAATACTCATGACCTTAATGTGTGATTCAGTGGTGATACCATAGAGTAAGATTAGTTGCTAGTTACTCTTTGGAGTTAACAGGGTTAAAAAACAGTCCAAGTATATAACATTGAAAAGCAGTTAGAGAATCATTTTGTCGCCAAAAATACTGAAGCAAGCATCACCTCCTCCAGAGCGCTGAACAGCTTGAGTTTGACATTAATACTCTCTCCAACGCTACCAATACCCTTCATCAGATCAATTTGTACATCTTCTACTCGTAGTAATGGTTCAGCTCGTACAATGATGGCTTGCGCTAGAACATAACATGGAGAATACGAAATTGAAGGTAAATGAATACAGTGCGACGCAAGGTGCACCTCAACACCTTTGATCTCGGCTCCACACCTATTCAATTGTTTAAAACGATATAATCTTTAGAGTCTGACAATGACTGCCACTCGGGTTGCTGACTCGCTACAAACTAAGTTGTGCATAAGTTGAGACTGATTTCGTATCCCATGTCTAGAAAGATGTGAGGGAAGGCACCAATCATCGCATGAGGAAAGCCTCTAGGAAGAGAGGAGTAAGAGGTTATGTTCCCTTAAAGAGATTTTAAAACAGACTTAAAAATTCTTATTTTAACTTGAAGTAGAGGGGGGCTGAAGACAGCTGAGAATTTGATACAACATTTGAGAACTTTCGAGGGTTGTATAATTTTCGTGAATTATTCCATCGACCCGACTTTTCCAAAGCTGTGAATACCTGAATCCATTGTGTCTCGCATGACTTGCAACAACTCCTGAGTGTAGTGGGACCTCCTCTCGGATGGCAAACTCTGCTCACAAGCCAAAATCGAACAGGAGGCAGCATATCTCATGGGTTAAGGATGGCTTTCAATCCTGCTAGTAGTCTTTCAAATAGTAGTAATTTAAGACTGATCTTACGCCGTTTGGGAATCAAGATCCCCGCTTTCTAATTTCAATATGGAGATCAAAACATTCCAGTTCTGATCAAATTCTAAAGGATACTTGTCAAGATGTTTGAGCTGCTTTTGACAGCGAGCCAGTTTGACCAAACACTGTGTTGCAAGCAGAATCCACCTCTCGTGTTTGTACATCTTGTATGCATCAACAAGCAGAGGCTCTGCTCGGTAAAACTCTCCACGGGAACTAAAAATCAACACAAACATGGGCATAACCAACAGCGGGCTCTTTAACCCTCTACCCCCTGACATCAGTATCCATATTCTCCATACTGTTCACTATACATTCCCCAAGGTGCTGGTAAAGAGAATTTGTTTAATAATCAAGAGCTGCTTAAGTTGGTGATCATTTCCTTTATTCTCATGACCTTAATGTTTGATTCGAGGGTGATATTGTAAGGAGAAATTAGATACTGGTCACTCCTGAGGGTTAAAAAAAGGTTAATTCTACACTCAAGCTTACTAGCTTGTACTGTCGGAGCTTTTCACGGTTTGCGTAACATGAAGGGGCTGGAAATATTGCTACTTCCCCTTGAAGGAGAGGGATGCTCATCCATAGCAAGTCACCCCCCCCCCCCCCCACCCCACCCCCTCCACTTCATTTTGTCTGATTTTCCTGACAGTTCGCCAAGGCCTCATGTATACCTATGGGTAGAGTGGGTGGAGGGAGGGGAAGCACCATGAGGGTTAAGTATTTTTCCCAAGAACACAACAAAATGACCCAGCCAGATCTCGAACCCAGATCTCTCGACCTGAGAGCACCAACCGTTAAGCGACCACGTTTCTTACAAGTTTGCTCTTTACTGCGATCAATTTTGATCTTAAAAGATTTAATTAAAAATCGAAAGTAATTTTGTACTACACTGGCTGTGCTTCATTACAATCTGAAATTGATCCGACTCTCTCTGGTCTCTGATTTCAGAAACTCAAGCTTGAGCGAAAGGAATTTTTAAGCTAATAAACCTCCTCATTAGGACACAAATAAAGTCAGTAAATTCCTTATAGATTCATGAAGAAGAGAATGGTGAAGTTTTGCACATTTGAAAAAATAACCAGTCTAAAACAGTACGCACATTGCAGCAAAGCCAGGTCATTTGAATATATAAAATGTCCAAGAGTATACCAGGGTAAAATAATAATGATGAGAATAAAAATATGTATATTTATCACTGGTTTAAACAAACAGATTTATCATATTGGTATATTTCGCACTCACCAGTAAAACTGTGCCAGGTCCACACCTAGAACCTTAGCAGCTCGAGCTCTACCGATGTTCTTAAAGACTTCGATTGCTCGCTCTGTCAAATCCTGTTGAGATGTAAGTAGGGTACGGCTGTCAATCAATACAATCAATACAATCAATACGGTTGTACATTGCTTTTCCTACACCTCACTCAGTAATTGGCTCAAAGAATCACAGCATCTTTTAAGGAAATCAGATGCATAAACTCCAAACTATTCCACGCTTGAGAGGCTTTTCATAAAAAAAATTTCAGTTCTCACTGTCTCTGAGAAATGTTCAGCTTTGTTCTGTAAGGTCGTTGGAAATGCACCAGAAATGTTCAGCTTTGTTCTGTAAGGTCGTTGGAAATACACCGCATGGAAAACTTCAAAACTAGGTGGAAAACTCTGACTCGTGGTTTCGAACGCACAAAAACCCTACGCATACATCTTCTTAAAAGCAAAGTGTTCTCTCAAACGAACACTTCTTCTGTTCCAAGGGTAGCAATTTAACAAAGCTGGACTGGATTGTTTAAACCAGATATAATCCAACTTGGATTAACCCCATGCATACACTGTAAGCTGGCATGGTAAATCTGATTTGGTACTAAAATATAACGAACAACTTGGCCTATTCTTCTCACCAGGTATAGTGCTTGAAAGGCATTTTTCGACGACAGAGCCTTCTGGAGTCTTGTTGATGGACTGTTGGGTTGAAGATCTCCTGCAAAACAAAAAGGGAAAGGTGTTTTACACCTATAAAAAGACTAGCGATTGCTCGTCCGTTTATCAATATTTCACAATACACTTAGTGATTTGATTATTCGCAAAATTAGACGAATACCTAAAAGGCTCAGCCTAGTGGTATATATTCCGTTTAAGGCAGAAAAACGGCACACAAAAATTGCACCGTCAATCCTTTCCTATCCTATCCGTATCGACCAGACTACCTGTACCAAGTATCTTATCTGTCTCTCCAGATGTTCCGATCTTCCGTGGCATTCGCAAGATGCACAACAGCGAGCAAAAGAAATATATCAAAAAAAAGACTAACACTATCCGACCGGTTACCACCTGGCGTACTGTTGATGCGGTTAGTGGAGGAAATGGTAGACTCTACCAATGTTAAACAGACTCGCACAATTATGAACACATAAAAATTAAGGTGAACCTACCATCGGTTTGTGTTTTAGCTATCCCGGAGAGCAGGGTATCAGTAATCTGTTGAGCAATTTCTGTTGGAGTGGTATCAGGCAAAAGGCCACAAAGAGATCCCAATTCATCCAGCTAAAAAAAAAATGTAACAATACGCAGTTAGAAATGTTTTGTGCGAAAACTTCTACTTCTTAATTTTGACACGAGCAAAATCTTATTTGGCATTCATGCGCACCTTAGTAGAAACAGGATGCAGCAAATTTTTCAGCAATTTTAACAGTCTGAAAAAACAAATCAGTTTCAAAACTAAAACCGACCGCGTCTTGGTCACCTACGTTTTCCCGGGCTTTCATTTTCCCGCTCTTCAGGCAGTTTACCTCATTTTATTTTGAGTTTTTATTGGCTCCTTTCTTGATTACTTTGATTTTAGATTTACGACACCAAGAAAATGCGTGATGAATGATACCTTTTGTTTAGCGTACTGGTATAGAAGAGCAAAATGCAAACTGTAAATCATATCTTCCCGAAAACATTGTTCCTCACAAGCTTTTAACACCTCCAGGCTCGTTAAGATGATACAGCACGATGCTCCACCAGTCGGCATGGAGATCTTGAAGAAAAAAATTAAGCCAAGAAAAGTAACAGATTATGCCTTGTGAGTTTCAAGTGCTAGAGGTCATCGCAATAACAAGAATATGAAGGTGGTAGGAGCATTGATACTCCCTAGGATAGGATGATACGCCGTGAACTTCATCACAGGTAACGTCCTGGTAGTAAGTCAAGTTTCCCTGAGAATCCGCCAGTACTCAAACAGCCTCCCGGGTGGGAGGAATTATTTTGAAAATAAAATATCTTGCCCGATAATATGACACAAAGAACCTGAACCACAGCTGGTGACCCTTATCCTATTAACAGGAGTATGATCATTATCCTCCTGAGTGGGAAGAAGTACTTTAAAAATTCAGCGTCTTCCTCGATAACACGACACTAAGCCCTTAGTTAGGGCTTGGACCTTGATCTGTTGTCACACAGTCCTTCTCTCCTTCATAACAGATGTCTTTCTTTAGCGTGGTTCAGGCGAGAGAAGGCAAACGCGAGGCAAACGTGAGGGAAAAGACACGCGCGAGGGGAGGCACTCGCGAGGGGAGGCACTCCTCTTGCTATCCTCGCGCATTCTTCGTGTTTTCCAAGTGTTCTCCACGCGCTTTCCTAGCGTTTGCCTCGCGCTCGACCCCGCTCCTCTGAGAAACGCAAAAACATTACGTTTGAGTTAAGAATTCCAACCTCTGAGCCGCCAAATCTCGCCAAATGGAACTTCATGATATCTCAGACAAATATATTTGTGGATCCCAAGCAGTTTTGAGATTATCTATTTCCAATATGAAGAAAACTTCTCAAAAATTACTCTGATACCTTAAGTTCATCCATTGCCAGTTCATGAACAAGATTGTGTAAGAACTCCAACAAACGTTGAGCAATTTCCCATGCACGTCGCTTCAACTTCAACAGAAGGATGCATTGTCGGGAAAAAAGGTAATTTCGCAGGTCAACATAGCTGGCTTCTTGAGTCTTGATGAGTTGTCGCAAGAAGTCTTGAGAACTCTTAGCTAACAATACTCCATCAAAACATTTACAGTCTCGCATGAAGACATCGATACAGTCAAGGGGCTCTTGGTGAGGAAAAAAAGGTAAATATAGGTCAGAGTTTACACGCTTTCCTTTTTTAAGGAAAGTTAAGCAATACAAATACATCAAAGAAGATTCCTGATTTGATAATAATCTACACTTCATTTAAATACTTGTAGAAAAAAAATGGCTGTTCGGACAAGGAAGCCCCCAGCCATAAGATGATCGCCAATGTGAAAATCAACCATGTGAACTTGTGAAAACCTCTGGTCTAACTGATCTTTGAGAAGAAGGAGAAAAATAAAACACATATAACTGTTCCCTCCCAATACCTTTATATTTAGAGTTGATGACCAGCTGAGTAAGAAGGGCATCTATTTCATCATATTGAATCAGAGCTTCTTCATAGAGACCCAGCATCTCAAACACAAAGGACAATTCCTCCTGAATATTAAAAAAAAATAATATCTCAGAGGTGTATTTCAATCAGCAGCCCAGTTTAACAAGTGGTTTTAACCCCCTCACTACCAAAACCTAAATAGCAATATTCCCACAAATATCTGCCCCAAATTTCACACGTTTTGCTCTGAGAATTTGGTTTAAATCAAACATACCCCTAGTTCATCTAATCCCATTTTCTCATCACTTTTCTGTTTCACGATCAAAATTGTCTTTAGTTCACTCCTAGGAGTGGAAAGGTCATACCAACACAAAGACAAGATACAGTGAGTATGCAACCTACTATCACTAGATTTAAGAGATTTAGAATCAAATCTTTTATCTTGCACAGAGAAGTGTTGTGTTTGAACTCTGCCCTTTTACTACTAAATTTGAGTCTAATACTTTTCCTTGAAAATCATCCTTTCCTCAGAGTTTTGTAAAGACCTCCATTAAGAGAGATGGGCATATTTTCATGTGGACAAACCTCTGATATCAAAATTACATCTTACATGCAATAAGAAGTATGTAGTAAAGCTCCATTGTGGTTCAGTCCGTCTCTCCCTTAGTGACCTGACTTGATCTTCAAACTTCCCTAAGTGTCGATTGAATGACTGTAACAACAACTGCCGTAGTTTGGTGACCAAGTTCTGCCATGATTCTGCAGATCGTGTTGCCTGACTCTCTTTGAAAGGTTCCCAAAGCTGTATTATTCTAGGATGGACAAAGGTAAAATAATGGCTGGCTGAACAACACTGACTCTTTTACCCTTTACACTCTGACATCAGTATGCACATTCTCCATAAATTTCCTTGGGTGCTGACAAGGAGACTACATGTATGTTTAACAATCAAGAGCTAGCTTCTTCAGTTGGTGATCATTTCCTCTATTGTTGTGACCTTCAAAAATGCATCATTAGGGGGGGTGATTTTGTACAAAAATTAGATTCTAGATACTCTAAGAAATCAGAGGATTATTAAAATGAAATAATTAAATTTCACTTCCAACTAAAAGTACAGGATAATCAAAGGATGCACATTTGTGTAATGTGCAGCTTACTGGTTGAGGTTTTAACATTTGCCTAAGAGTACATATGAAAACAATATTTCTTTTCATACTGTTGTAAAACAAATTGTTTGAAATGTATCACTCCAAAGTTTGAGAGATTTTCCATAAAAGTTGTCAATTTTACAAGAGCTCAAAATTAGCCTATTTTGTACAGGCTGCTTCCACATAAGTAGATTTTCATGTGGTTTTTACAACAGTGTTACTGTTTACTTAAATCAAAAGTTGACTTGAAACAACAATGCAACAAACAGGCATTTTTTTCATTTCTTGCAGCTAAACAATCTGTAATCTCAGACAGTAGATTTACCTTTCACTGTTCTTGCCACCAAAGTCACTTTTGATTTTGTCAAACACTGTGCTGCGAGGAAGTGTCAACTTTGGTTTGTTTCCCCTAAGTGAGTCCTGAGCCACAACTTGGATAATCATCCAGTCCACAATATTTCTTTCACGTAGATTTTTCATCCAATCTGTGATGCTGTCTTTTACCCCACTTTTAAACTCATCTGCATCCTTTTACAACAAAATTATAAACAATTTTCAAGGACCTACTGACAGTAGTTGCATCTAACTTACTATACAATGCAAGTAAAACAAATTTCAAAAACCATATCAATCTTACCATGTGGTCACAACTTTATTTTCAACAAAAAAATATTAAAAGAAGAAAAAGCCAAAAACAACCATTACAACAAACAGCTTTTGAGGATTTCCCACCCAGAATGCAAAACAAAATGAAAAAACGTTTAATTAAAAGAATGACTTGGACCAATACATTTCAAATGAAAAGATCCTATGATTTGTAGGAGAAACTGGATGACATTTAACTTACTTGCCTTTTGTTAACTCTGTGGTTAACATGTAATTTCTCCCTATAATATCCATACATTATCTAGCAAGCAGGTTATGAGAATACTCAAACTTATTAGGTTAAAGTTGATATCTTGATCTAACACCAAATTCTCCCAGCTACTTTACAAGGAAATGTGTAGCAGCTAGAGGGGAGAATTAATAATCAGATCAAGGGAGTTAAAGGGTTAATATGTTTCATATTACTTTCAAAGCCACTTTGTAAAACAATGCATGTAAGTAAACTAAGATGTTGGGAAAAAAACAAAGAAAATCCTTTTGGATTGCTTGTATTAGAGAATGATACCTTGGGGTAAAGGACTATGCAACAAAGTTGTTTTCCAAAACAATTTCCC